CTTGTGCAGAAGCTGCTTGCTGAGCGGTCGGGGTGTTGCCGCTACTTACTGGAACCCCGGAATTTTTTGTGAAAATCTCTCCACTCATTCACGCGGCCAAAGAGCCCATGCAGGGGCAGCACTGTGAGGTACGTCCATTATTACCGTGATGTGAGATAACTCGCTGGCTAGTTGCAGCTGGCAACATGCGCAACTGAATGCAGTACGCGACATACGGGTACCGACCGACCGACAAAGCTGGCATATACGGATGACCACCAGCAGGAAAATTAGTGGCTGACTGGCTGTGAAGGGCGAATATGGGTGCCCAGCAACATACTGCATTGTGAACAATGTACGAGTGATTACTTATACATGGTCGATGGTTTTACATGTTGACTGACAAACAGCAACATTCACCAGGCCTGCAGCAGATGCCACAATGGTTGGCTGACCAGCTGCACTGGACGAATCATTTGGCAGATTCTCCGCAGATAATACTGTATGTGACGGACTAGAAGTAGTAGCAATGGCCAAATTTGGCATATTCGCAGCAGATGACACTGGATTTGGCTGATAAGACGCAGCAACAAAGTATTAGTTGGCTGGACAGCATCAATGGACAAACTTGGCAGCCCCGCTGTAGATCACACTATTATTTGGATGAACACTCGCAGCAGGCCGGCCGTACGTAACAATGACATGCTTGGCCGGCAGTTGACGTCCAGGGATCTAGCTGTTCAGCAGCAGAGGTAAAAACGGCCGAAGCTGAAGAAAAACTAACCTGCCTACGCCCCGGCAGGGTGAATATTTGACTTGCCAACATAAAACAGCCAAGAAATCGTTCAATCACGTCTTCCCTCTGACCACCAGCATCCATTTTCTTTCCTGCTGTAAAGCTACAGTTGGAGCCCTGTTCTCGTCGAAAGAGCACTCTTCCATGATCATGTTAGACCCAAAATGTCATAGAACTCCAAAATACAAACTGCACCAACGAAAAGCCACTGCGAAGTGACAGGAATGCGGTCCAGCACAACATTTTTGCGGACGCAAAAAGTTGTGGGGAAATCCCAAAATCGGTGCAATTTTGCATGAGCCCAAATGTTCAGGTTACCCACAAAGACACAAGCTTTCCAACTCTCTTTGGCCGTTGGAAAGCGTACCGTCCGGTACCTATATCTACCGTACCGTACCATCAAAGACGGCTGGCCACAATAAAGTAAGTAAATTATCGTATCCGTTCCCGAAGGGAACTCACGACGGCCGCTAACACCCGATAAACCCTAGCGGCAGATGCAGCGCCTAACGGTGGGGGTGAGTGGGTAAGTCTCACAACCACTGGCACAAGTGCCCAAAGCGACCCCATTAGCTGCATCCATGTACCCCTTGTGCCTGGCCACAAGTTCCCAGTTGACTGTGGGTAGCAGCACGGCTGGAAAAACCGCTCCCAGGCAGGACTTGAACCAGGTACCTCTCGTATCTCAATCATGGTCTTTGACCAACCCACTGTGCCTGCCTGGCCACAATGCATATTCAAATAGGGCTTTCAAATGCAAGATCATAATGTGAAGCAACTTGGAAGAATTAGTATGTATGCGAAGTGTATCGGGGGATGCATGCAGGGCGCGATAGTGCGGGTTCGAATCTCAGGTTATGTCTTAAAAAAGGATTTTTTTAAAGACCGGTGGATGCATGCAGGGCGCGATAGTGCGGGTTCGAATCCCAGGTTATGTCTTTAAAAAAACGAATTTTTGAAAGAATTTTTAACATCCCTATGCTTTTTTGTCTAGGTCATCAAGGCGAAAAAGCATAGCGTAGGGCCCTGAGCTTCCAAGCTCTCTCGTTTCAGCGACATCGACGACACCAATGGCAACGACGCAGTAAAACGTACCTATTACGCATGGTTCTATCTGATGTTGCGATCTGTCTGCGTGGAGGCGAAATGTAAGCCTCCATCAAAAAGGACGACGTTGTGTTCTTCATCGTTGACGGGAAAGAGATCCTGAAGTTGGGACCGTTGTGCATGTCGAAAAACCATCAAGGCGGACTGCGGGGCACTAGTGTGATCCTAAAAAAAAAGGAGTTTATATGCCAGTTTATACAAAAGGTTATATACCAGTTTATATTCCCGTCATCGAAGTACGTGTTATATGCAAAACGCAATCCTGGAGTGTTGTGTGGGGAGACAGGGGAGTTTGTATACAAGCTCAGTATACATCTTTGTGCAATTGTGCGCTGCACGAGCTACGAAAACGTGTCTTGTGATTAACATGTGTTTGTAGGTTTCTGGACGCTTTGTGTATGTGAATATATATGTGTGTGTGTGTGTGTGTGTGTTAGTGTGTGTGTGTGTGTGTGTGTGTGTGTGTATGTGTGTGTGTGTTTGTGTGTGTGTGTGTGCTGGTATGAAGTGGGCACCTCTTCTCGCTCCAAATGGCGCAACGCTTACCGTTGTCTGCCAGACAAGCAGAACAGACCTCGACCATCACCGGTTGTGTCCCAAACTTGTCACCGCTCCTTCAGTCGTATAAGTGACAGGAAGCGACACAAGTGTACAGCTACGCGTGCCCTACCCATAAGCCAACAGCCAGGAAGCTGTCACTGCGATCAGTGCGACAGATGGTTCCAGAGCAAGGGTGGATTTGCCCGACACAAGTGCTCGCCAGCAACATCACCAGCAGAGGCATCTTCTGACATACCTGAGTCACCGGTTACAAACAATATGTCCTGCGCTGCAGCTTCAACTGCGCCCGCTGCAACCGCTGTGTGCTATTGCGCCAAGGCATGAAACGTCACAAGGGCAGCCGTGGCTCGGCCAGAGCAACCAACACAGACCGTAGCTCCTTCTGCATCGTTTGCAATTGCGGTCGGCGTTTCAGTAGACCACAGGACCTATCCCGTCATCGCCCCTACTGTTCCGAACCTGCTCAACCCCCCATGGGGTCCATATAGCCAGAATATGGCAGCGCGTCCAAGGTCCAATGTGTGTGTGTGTGGGGGGGGGGGGGGGGTGCCCATATGGTGCAGTGGTATATGCAGTCGATTTCTAATCCAGAGGTTGCGGGTTCAATTCCCGACGATTATGGTCGCACACGTCTTTCTTCTCTTTCTCGGACTCTTCCTGACTTTTCTTTCATTCTCCTGGGTGGTTACCAACAGCCAGTGTATGCCGGAGTATGGGGGGGGGGGGGGGGGGGGGTGTGTGTAGAAAATAAAGAAAGAAAAAAGGGAAAATAGATGGAAAAATAGGGATTCACTGACCAGAAAAAATTACTTCAATCAGCTGTCTGGTGGATAAGAAGGCTAAAAATAGTGGCGGTAAATTCACCAGCCTTGCAAGCTGGTGAATGGTGTAATCCCAGCACAAGTTGCTATGTCCAATATAGCTGTTCTCTATCATCGCTTCTGCGATGGGCAGGTCTGAGGTCTGAGGTGTGTGTGTATGTGTGTATGTGTGTATGGGTGTATGTGTGTATGTGTGTATGTGTGCATGTGTGCATGTGTGCATGTGTGCATGTGTGCATGTGTGTATGTGTGTATGTATGTATGTGTGTATGTGTGTATGTGTGTATGTGTGCAAACCTGTCGGAAGACTACCCTCTTGCCAAAGAACATGAAAGCCACTCAGATGCCTGTTCTTTCTCTGCACCGAGTGGTTCCATATCCATCACACCACCATACTGGGCAGCCATGTTGGTTCCCGCTCAAACCAACTCCTGCATCTCTGGGTCACGTGATGTCGGTAATGTTGGTAACACTGTCCACACCACAGGATCACTTTACACACAAAATGTAATTCGAAGTAGTCACATTGCCCGTTTGACTTGCAATCTAAAATAAAAGCAATACAATACAAAACATGACAAAGTTGTGAAAACGCTCTATAGTAAGGTGTCCTCACCCACTGAGAGAGAGAGAGAGAAATAGAGAGAGAGAGAGAGAGAGAGAGAAATAGAGCGAGAGCGAGAAATAGAGAGAGAGAGAGAGAGAGAGAGAGAGAGAGAGAGAGAGAGAGTGAGAGAGAGAGAGAGAGGGAGAGAAATAGAGAGAGAGAGAAAGAGAGAAAGAGAGAAAGAGAGAGAGAAATAGAGAGAAAGAGAGAGAGAGAGAGAGAGAGAGAGAGAGAGAGAGAGAGGGGTAAGGCGGATACATAGAGTAAAGCAGTGAGGTTAGGGGTATCGATGCGGCGTGGTGGGCGTATCAACGTGTGGTGATATGCCTGATACAGGTCTTCCCTCGTTAGTAGATAATCTCTGGGCCATCGAAAAAGTTATCTTATAACGAGACTTATCTTGTAGCGGGACTTGCAGCTAAAGGTGAAATAGGCACTGCTTCGTACTTACCGAGGCTACCCTCGATACAACATAAATTATCGATGCTTCAACTCGTTATAAGATAATTGAAAATCTCCAACATAACTCTTCCTTGGATGCAAAGGATCGTCCATATTCACGAATACATAGACATAATACGTTTCCTCTTTCTACTTTATCCTACGTGTTTTGCCCTTGGTCCTGCATGGTCAATATTATCTTATACTGAGGGTTTGGCACTCCAGGGACCTGGGCAAAGGGTCGTTATAACGGATTTTATGTACTAAAGGATTATTTTGTAACCGGACCTGTAAACAGTTGTATACCACGTTTCGCCAGGGGATTTCAGATTTCTATTTACTAACGGGGTTTATGTACTAACCGGACTCGTTATATTGAGGGAGGTCCTGTATTGATATTGATATTGCATTCTGGCAGGGTACGTTCGGGCCTGGTTTAAATCCGGCTTTGGAAAATTTATTTTGCATTGCTATCAGGTTCAGCCTCATTTTCTCTGTGTTGCGCTGGTGAGCCCACAAAGGACGCAGCAGTTCTGTCCGCAGATTGAGGATTTGATATTTATTGAAGGATTCCTGTTCAGCTTAAAACTACACTTGAAGCCCAAACCCCGGCGTAACTCATTTCAAAGTTGATTTGATTTTTCCCGTTTCTTTTAAACATTTGCTTTTTTGTCCCATGGAAATACAGAACATCACGGATGGCTTCATGGATAACGGGACGTCTGACATTTGGCTGCGAAATTATAATAGGCTCAATGCCACGATTAACCTGGAGACAGAACTTGTCCGTAATTTAACCGAACTGGCAAGCACTGCAATGCAACCTTTTATATGCGCAAAAGGTATGAAGACATTCCAAGCGTGTTTCTTCCGTTGCGGTTCTTGCTAAAAAGTGGCCCATATATGGTCCTTACACCTACTGCAAATAATTAATTATCGAAACAATTATTTGATGTTTGAACTACAGTGCATATTTAAGTGTACATAGGCAACTTGCCTAGTAATAAATAAACACGATTATATTGTGTGTAATGCATCACCCTGGTCTGGTGGTCACCTCGTGCACGCAATTCGTCCTCCTACTACTTCTTGTGGTTTATGTTTCCTGAAAGCTTGTTTGGGAATCCTTAACACATTTGTCGATCACCATTTGATCGATATTTTTAAAACATTTTTATCTTAACTTGGTCAATTCTCAGTCGTTTGGAGAAACCTAAGTCTGTAGATCGAAGAGAAAACCCATCAGCGGTCGTCTGGAATTTAACAATATCGTAGTGGCTGTGTGCGATTGAACACGTGTATTCTTGACTTCCCTGCTCTTACAGATTGGAACGAATGTGAGGACCCAGCCACGAAGTGCCCTGCTGGAACTTTCTGTGAGAACTTAAAGGGTGGTTATGTCTGTGAAGGTTAGTACCCTGTACTCTGGTCTTCATACAGCTGTTTGGACCTTTTTCAAACCTTCTGCTCTTACAGGTTGTTGATGTAGAAACAGTCGACTCCTGATACAGTGAACAACATTGTGCAGAAGAATTAGTTCTCTATAGCCGAAGTTCTTTGTATCCGAAATGCACGCACACGATGCGAGTACATGTAACTCTTCCTGACTGGCATATCACCCATGACAGTACGATTATCATTGCACTTAGTTCGCATGCCTAAGCAGTAGTAGGAGGACGAATTGCGGTCACGAGGTGACCACAAGACCAGGGTGATGCCCTAAACCGTATGGTTCGTTATAACCGAAACCTGCTTCCTACAAAGGGTCAGTTCTGTATGGGTTTGAAAAGCGACATGGACACTGGTTCGTTAAAATTTATCACAAAATGCGCTACAGGCAGAAGACTTCGTCGGTCAATAGTTTCGGCCAACTCCAAAGAAAGGGAGTTCGTCCGGTCGTAAATTTCGTCCATGGATCATAAGAGTGTATTGAAAATCGACATTATCTTAGTCTGGCATTTAATTTAGTCCAAAAGCTCCTTGGACGAAAATGACGAAATAGAATTCCAGACGAACATTTCTGCTTAATATTATGCTAATTCCTTATAATTGCAGTCGAACGTAAAGGGCAAGATTCGTTTCCATCACCCTCAGCGATATCGACGCGAAATGTATAGCGAATGAAAGAGGGCCGAAATTCAGGTGGCGTGACAGCTGACCATCCTACGGAAATGTTGAACTGATCCAGTACCTAGTCGAGGCAACACTGGCCCTCTTGAAGAAACAAAGGTTAGCTTTTGCCCCGGACTTGCATGAAATAGCAGTGCTCATCGCCTATAAGACACACTCAATTTTAGACTGAAATAGAAACAAAATTTCCGTAAGTCAAGTGATGTGAGAAGCAGGAAAGCAGCATCTCTCTTGAGCGGTTCAGACGCTATGTGCATCCCGCTTGGACAACAGCCTTTTCACGTAGCGTGAGCCCGCGCAGAATGTTTTTTTAATGTTTTTCCGGCTGGTAGAATGCCATGTATGGATGGCAGTCGTGAGTCAGTCAAGTGTCAAGTCGTCGGCGGAATAGCGCGAGCTCCAGTGTGGAAGCAAACCCATTCCTGAACAAAATCATCGCCGAAGTCGCAACCTCTAGTTGGTAGAATGCCTACCACAATAACTTTGACGGGGAACACAATCAATAATGTATATGTATTAGGGAATCAGGTCACCTGCTTTGCACTGCTCTTTTCTCTGCGGGGACCACAGTCACTCTTTTCTACTATGCGTTGTAAAGTGTATATGACGTATTTCGGAGTGCCCAGTGTGACGACAGCCTTTAGTTATCCGCCATTGACCAATGTCAATGCAATTCAGGAACCCAAAGTTCGGCTCGAATACTTTTCGAATTCGCTAGCAAACCGCCTTCTATGGTGTTTCGCCGAAGGAATAATGTAATAATAATGTTTGGAAGGAAACGTTACATTTGGCGCACGACTGATTAGCCGATTTCCACCATACATGTTTTTACACACGGAAAGTTGGGTGTGGTCCTTGAAAGAGTGCTCAATGCACTGGGGTGCAGAGCTTCATACAAAAAGAATAGAATGGGATGCGGAGCTTGGGTTGGCTGCGACTCAGAGTTTCACGCCTGTGGCGATGATCAGACAGTGCTGTCTGATCATCGCCACAGGCGTGAAACTCTGAGTCACAGCCAACCCAAGCTCCGTATCCTATTCTATTTTTTTTACATGCTATTTAGATGCGGTGAGTGTACAATGTTTTGCTGTATTCCCCTTTGCCATTCAGCGTGCGGACAAGGCAACGCCTCGGGAAGGAGCACTGTGGACGGGAGAACTGGACTGATCACGTGTGAAAAAGGATACTACTGGACATGCTCAGCTGGCAATTGCCCCAGGGACTCAGAGACGCCAGCCAAGCTAGTGTGCAAAAATCAAGTATTGACCAACCTTCCGGAATGTGCAGGTAGATAGTGAATTCAAAGTTGGCGTGTCCGCGTTACCACCCACTATATAACTGTGTTGAAAAGCTCTACCAGCTGCATGTGCACTGCTGTTAGCCACGATCAAACTCCAACTGGAGTTGTTGAAATGTTATTTTGTATCGCCGACCAAACGGGCAATGGTGCCCAGTGTCATAATGGCGATAAAGTAACGGCCAAAAGCCAAGGATACAACAAGCAAGCCTCCACGAAAGAGAGAAAAACACAGACTTCGAATACTCAAAAAGAGAAAGGAAAAAGGCAAGGGAAAAAAGAAAAAAGAACAAAAGACAAACATAACGAAAAGAAAAAACACAGTTGAGTCACTTCACAGGATGACTCCAAGAGTTGATTATTCTACTTCGAAGTAGTTGTTATTGGGTATTGTTGTTTTCGCGAGTAACCGATAATGTGCCACCGAACGCACAACATCCAACATTACAAGGACGCCATCCAGGGCATGCACCGAGTGAATAGCACCTGAACGGAGCGGTGGTCATTTGACAAACCCCCTACTAATTATAGCAATAAAAACTGCTTTATGGCAGTTTTCTAAAAAAAGTTATTGTGTTCTAGTCCATGGACCCCGTCTAAAAAGTAAGAAATTACCGAAATGTGATAGCTGAAAATTAAAATTTCACACAAAACCTCACAATAATCACAACACTTGAAATGCTGCTTTCAACTTTAACTTGTACTGCACCAACAATTGGCAACATGCATGCATAGGAGAAAGGATCACGAGGGGAAAAGGTCTTCTACATGTAGCTTTTAATTCTGTGTGTGATTATTGTGAGGTTTTGTGTGAAATTTTAATTTTCAGCTATCACATTTCGGTAATTTCTTACTTTTTAGACGGGGTCCATAGACTAGAACACAATAACTTTTTTTAGAAAACTGCCATAAAGCAGTTTTTATTGCTATAATTTCTTTTGTTTTTCTGTCACCAATCAATGGATGCCCTACATCAAGAGTACATGTACTCTTGCCTACATGTATATCAATATGTAAATGATGGCCTTCACATCATATCAAGAGGTTTATGTACTCTTGATCATATCAATACCGTATTATACGCATTGATATGCAAGCCTTTTCTTGCAGAAAATGGCACTAGCATAATGCATGTTCTGTGGGGGAACATGTGAGTAGTGGTGGTTATACTTTTTTAGACGCAGGTCATTCTGTGCATGTTGCTGTTGCAGAATTTCATGACTCTGTCATAAATTTGTCTTGCCTTTCAGATATTTCAGATTTCCCCACCCTCTATCAGATTTATTTGAGAAATGTAGCCATGCGCCAGGTGCGTGTCGCAGATGTTTTTGTTGATTCTGTGTTTATAATGGTTTATAATCATGGGTTATCGTGATAAGGTCATCCAGCATCATATTGCACTGAAATCGTTATCCTGTTGATGTCAATACAACTTTTGGAAGTAGTTCAATGACTTCAAACTGTTAGTCCCCGATTTTCTGAAACAACACAGCAAAGGAGGAACAATAAATAGGTATTAAAATGTAAACAAATACATTGTTGAGTCCGACACCTCGTTCCAACAACTACACTGATCCTGAGGATAAAAGGGTCAAGGCTATGGTTGGAGGTACTGATACTAGAGAGGTTTCGCTCTACGGAATTACGTATAAAAATAACGTAGAAACTGCACGGAATTTTCATACGTCAAAATCAGAGCTGTTGGGTTTCGCTCTACGTGATTTCTCCACGACTGCTAAACATGCGTTGCTCCTTTGGAGACGCGTTGGCTGCATGCGCCCACCGCATGCACCATGAACCGAAACCGCGTTTTCCATCATATTTTGCACGTGGTGTACGGTGTGTACCTTGTGTTTCGCGCGGCTTGAACGTTGCCATGGACAAATGCGGAAAATGCGAAAAATATTTCAAAAAGTCCTACGGAGGACCCAACGTAGGAAAGAGCTTTCCTACGGAAATCCGTAGAGAGATTTACGTATGAAAGTTGCCCTCGATCCCCGGCGCGTACGACATACGGATTTTCATACGTAATTACGTAGAGCGAAACCTCCCTACTGAGAGATAAACAAGGCACTCCATGATAATAAAAGCTTACACATCTTTTGGTGAGTATGAATGATATCCAGTTGAACCTCTTTAGGACGAACACCAAGGGACCAATGGTATTTATGCTGTGAGTTTGTCTTAACCTATTTTATAACCAGTGAATACAATTATTTCTCCAATAGACACACGAATAGATTTCTTCTACAGCGAAAGCTTCTAAGCCACACCGACTCATTGACTCGTCTCGTATGGAACAAAAGAGTCACTAGAGAGGTTCTGCAAAACGAAAATGCGTACAAACTTTCGCTCTACATCATGAAGTGCGAAACTTCGCACGAACTTTCGCAACTGTGGAAGCGAAACTTGCAGGGAACGCGAAATGAACTGTCGTAGGAAATTTCCTGAGATCGGGTCATGGCGTACGTGCACTTGGCCCGCACAAACTATGAAAATGTTCAGAACGCAAAGTTCGTGCAAAAATTCGTACACACTTTCGCAAGGACTGTGGCGAAACTTCGTTCGAATTTTCGTTTTGCAGTGGCTTTTTTTTAACATGGTTGTAAATGTTTTCGTTCTCACAGAGTGTATTCCGTGACCTACTGTTCTTCATTACTGTCTCTAGTGATGGCAAGACGGCCTGACGTCGTCCAAAGGCCCTGCGGAAGCAATTCACTGCCCTCCTCGTCCATTCAGGGGCTCATTTTACACATTTTACACAAAATGGCAAAGCACCCACCACTAGTTATACCAACGTGGCAGGGAGAATTAAATTATATGCACCAAATTTTCTGGTCAATGTTGATCTACGATAAACTGGCTCTCATTTGCCACCACCCATGTTTCGATACAGCCATCCGGAGCAGAGAAACAGCCAGAAGAATAGCAAATTTTACACATTTGTTAAAAAATGCCAAATGTTAAAAAAAGCCAAATCACCTCGTACTGAACCTTTCTTTAGCAACATGACGGCAACTGAAACAGCAACAGAGAAAGTACGATACATGTACTGCAAATTCTTGCAAGTACTAGAGGTACTACAAACAGATTGCAGATCGTAATTCTTGCTTTGGCGGCACGAAACTTTATTTGGGGCAGTGCAATCTCGGCGGTACTCACAAATCAAACAGCCCAGACTCGAGTAAACAAATCCAATCCTACAAGTGCGAGATTTTCATGAGACGAGACTGCACCCATTGGCTTGTTTCGTATGAAGCAAACAAGTTACTGAACCTCTCCACAATGGATATTTTCCCTGATATGCGAATTTATTTGGCAAACTCGGTCAATGAGTCCTTGAACCTTTCCCTCCAGATTGGGAACTGCCAACGATAGTATGCCACTGACCAGTGCCTTACTTGTAACGTACTAATGTGCAATGAATATGAGTATTTCGACAACACATCTAACATAAGCCTTACCGTCAAGAAGGTGAACTCGCGTTCTTCGCACACTGTAGGCAAGGGCAAAGAGATAAAAATCGATCTAAATCCGAATAAAATCAGCACATGTTTCCGTAAATGAAAGGGTGAGCATAAGCAAATGAATCGAAGGAAACTGGTCAACTCAGAGATCACCTGTCATTGAGTATTCCGTAAAAGGAGGCCTCGGCAGCGGAAAAGCTAAATTTAGAAAGGAGATCCTGTCAGCTTTTCCATTATTTATTGCATTCCGCCCAAAATCAGCACACTTTTCGTAAATGAAAGAGTCAACACAAGCAAATGAATCAAAGGGAACTGGTCAACTCACCTGTCATTGAGTAATATTCCGCGAAAGGAGGTCTCAGCAGCGCCGAAACGAAATAAGTCAGGCCATGCGCCAGGAGACGAAATATCCGAAACAGCTCATGCAAGAAGCAGTTCCAAAGAAGGAAGTTCCTCGTGCATGCACATCCGAAAAGGCAACAACAAAAAGTCTACAATGCACACGCATGCGGCCAGCCGGCCGCGCGATGGTACTCGTACGAGGAGCCATGGAGTAGCTCCCTGGTCCAGGACCAGGTACCGAGCATCTTACGTAGAAACTTACGTAGCTACGTAGACAACGTGTCTGAATAGCGGTGTCGTTAGGTAGCGCCATGTGAACACAATAATAGAAAAGCTGACAGGATCGCTTTTCTAAATTTTACAAGGACACCATACACCCAACATAGCAATTATTACGACTAAGCTTGGCGAAAGCGCAGGTGCCAAGTAGTGTATAGTATGTGCAGCGCAATGGTCCACCGGATCAGTGCAATGGTCCACCGGATCAGTGCAATGGTCCATCGGATCAGTGCAATGGTCCACCGGATCAGTGCAACACATGCATGAAGGTACGCCTCAGTGAAAGTATTGCCACGTAGTGTAATATACTCAAAATCCTTTAATTTAATGCCTCTAAACTATTCAGCGCCCAGACAGGCACATATTAAAAAGCCGAAATACAAAAACATAATAATTATTTGGTCCACGTACTGAGCTCATAGGCACGACAAAAGATTCCAACAGTTCACAACAAAACCCATAAGCAGTGGAGTTGAGATAGCTCCATCATGAAATTTGGTTAGACCATCTGTGCACAAAAATAGGGCTCAGACACTCTGCCTTGATCCAATGCATGTACTGCGTGTGTGTTTGTGTGTGTGTGTGTGTGTGTGTGTGTGTACTGTACTGTGTGCGTGTGTGTGTACTGTATTTGTGTGTGTGTGTGTACAAGTGTGTGTGTGTACAAGTGTGTGTGTGTGTACAAGTGTGTGTGTGTTTGTGTGTGTACAAGTGTGTGTTTTTTCTGCATTGAACACTGTGAGACTGGAGTAGTGCGCATTGAAGGTTGTGTCTTGATAATAGGCCTCGATCAAATATGCTAAAAAAGAGCATATTATGCTCGTCGCATATCAGGAAAAACGTCCATAATATGCCAAAGGCTTAGCAAGATATGCAGAAAGATATGCCAAAATATGCCAAAATATGCTCGACATAAGCAGAAAGTGTAGATCATTTCAGTAAAATTACAACCTTAGAATATTCATTGGCTTCACGGCTATCATGCTTACGGTGCAGATCAAAACACATGCGGAATAGTATGGCTGGGGTGTGTCCCCAGCAACAGTAGCGATAGTGTTCATCCATGGGGAAATGTAGCAAATGCCTCAACCATTCCAAATTCATCCATAAAAGGCATTTCTGAACGCATTTTGTCCATAATATGAATGTTTTTTCCTCATTTTCTTCAGAATATTTGAATTATATGCTGGCTTCATTCCAATATTCCCTTTGTCGCTCAATATGCCATAATTATATGAACTGTCTCACAAAATATGCGGAAATATGCGCAAGAATATTTGGTCGAGGCCTACTTGATAACATCGTGTGTTTGTTCTGCCAATTGCAAATTCCGTTTACCAGTGGGCACTCCCAGCTTCCCAAGCGGCTATGACGCCAGCAACGTGATAATCGATCCAAATACATCCACGTTCGCTTGTGCAGCCGGCTATTATGCCCAGTGCACCGTGAATTTCAAATGCGCTGGAGGTCTGAACAACCTGCCAGCCATAGCTAGCCAACAGGCTGGTCGACTGGTCTGGACAAATCTGCCAACATGTCACCAACTGGGTAAGAGTACTAGAGGATATCAGTTTTTACTTTTATGTTTGAAACAAATACGAGTCGTGAAAAATCATTTATTCATCCATCGCTGGACAGAACATAATCTGTCCTCAGTATAAAATAGTCAGCGTGGAGACAATCAGTATAAAATAGTCAGCGTGGAGACAATCATTTAAAAATAGCAGTAAATAGGATGATTTCCGACGTCATCACTACACATCAACGAACTCATGAAGGGGTTTTCCAAAATGGATTTTCACGTCACATTCATCAGTTAAATATCGTGACTAAAGGTTAACCATGCAAAACAATTTTTTAGTATACAAGCTACGATTGTTTAGTTAAGAAAGTAGAACCCCCTACACACCATAACAAAAGTTACTCGATAGGTTGACTGACCGGTTTCATCTTGTTTCAAGAATCATCAGAGTGAGGGAAATGAGTAACGAAAATTACAAAATTACGAAAATAGCAGGGCCAACTCACTTGACCAATGGTATCTATAACACATGTGGACCCGATAACGCCGCTGGGAGCCCAAAGAGGCAGAGGGGTAGGGGTAATTGGAGTGTGTTCTAGAAGTGATAATACCGCAACCCCTTCGTTGTCTATTTGTGTTTTTTTTATGGCTACCGAGGGTAGCCATGAGTAGACAGTGAGAGTGTATCCAGGATAGGGTCCAGCGGATAATGCCGGCATTATATTCGGCATTATCCGAGCATCAGAGCATTATGGAGCATTAGAAAGGAATAAAACCAGCATTATGTGAGGTTTGAGCGGCCTAACGAGTTTCAAAGTGGATAATATCGGGAAATCCCAGGTTTTTGGCAACAATCGGCTACAATCATGATCATGAGATGTTGGCTGATGATTGGTTTTTGTCATGAAACTCTGAGTAACAGCGAAACAGCACTATTTTACTCCTTTTGTGTACCTCTTGCGTACTACGCTCCGCCAATTCCGGGCATTTGAGCACTATGCATAGTACGGGCGCATGACTTTGTGATTGTGTAGACACGTAACACCTTTAGCACTAACGCTACATAACTATTGCTACAATATACATAAAATAGCGATGTGGTCAGGTAAATGTATACAAGCAATTTGTGAAGCATGCCCAACCGAGGCCGTGCCGAGGCAGTTCAAGCGACACAAATTCGGAGAAATGCCGGTTTTACGAGGTTTCTTTTACTTTTAGAATAATGGAGAGCTATGAAGGAGACATACGCGAAGTGAATATCAAACAGACGAAGAAGAGTTTTCTCGTTGTGCCAGAGGCTCTGGCGATAGCATCTCTAGCGATACTGAAGTAGACACTGATGCATTGTTAAATTTGGACCAGGATGAAGGAGGGACTAAAAACAGAAAGAGCTCGTTCCAAAAGAACTGCCTTTGCCGAGTCCAGCTCAGGAGGCTCGAAAAGAACTAGAATTTCTCATGGTTTCAGTACCAAGTCGATTGCTCAGCAGCGCCTGTCTTACTTTCCTGATGAAGCACGTACAGTTACATGTAGTTGTGGACGGTTGTAATGCCAGGCCTACAGTCAAATGCTAACAGAAAAGAAGAGTATTGTGGCAAGCCATACGTCTACACACCATCTCAAGGAGAAGATGAGAGCACAAGCAAAGGATGTATAATACTACTAATAATAACTTTATTAGGATGACCCAAAGGCTGACCTCCTACCATGTAGAGTGGCAAAATAACTTCTGACCACGTGTTTTCAGGATTTCCGCAAATGGGAGGGCTCTCCATCTGAGATAGTATCTCAGGAGCTGGCCTTGCGTCTGGTGTTTCAGATGAAGACACTATTCACAGAGTGGACGCAGTGACAGCTTGTCTGCAGGAAGGAATACTATTTGCCAAGATTAACTTCATCCCAACAATGAATGACTACCTGCAATAATGGTTTCATCTCTCACTACATGAATAATTAGGTGAAATATTTGATACACCGACTATTCTGCCTCAACCCTGCATCAAAGTTGGAATGGAGAGCAGTCAATGGAGAAGCGATTATGTCTCATCGTGCTAAGAAGTGGTGGAGCTCGTGAGAGATAAGGGGGCAGCTTCAGAGGCAGATCGACGATACATGTATGCATAATTTCCTGAAAATTTGACAATGTCCAGACTTTCTTCCATTTTTGTCCCAAACCAAGAGCATTATATCCCTTGTTAAAGCATTATAATCAGCATTATAAGGCAGTTTTTGGAGCACGATGTTTAGCACTACACGAACATTTTCGGAGCATTATCTGGACCCTAATGGAGGAAGAGCAGAGATTTGTTGCATTACTCATTGGACTTGTACCAGTAGGTAATAAGACCTCTGCTAGTTTTGACAGAGGCCTTTTGTTTTCAACACATTTCTCTACTTCAGTGGTGACTGGAAGCGGCAACGGCAAGCAAGAGACAATACAGATGCTTGCCTGGTGGAAGTGGGCGGTCAATGCAGTGGGCATTGCGCTGGTGGTTGCAATGGGCATTGGATTAGTGTTGTGGCGGAGGGAACAGAAAAGCTCAAGCCCACGTGTGGGAATACCGGTCCCAAATACCGTCAACGAAGACAGGTTAGTTTCATTAGTTTCACACTCATGCTTTCAGCTGCACCATAGCTCAGTGAGTGCGTTCGACTATGCCCGCGAATCGATTCATGAATCGATTCACGCTATTCACATCACCAAATGTGATTGAATAGGGTGAATGTATTCCGAACCGATTCCAGGGCTCATGACATGAAAATCGACCGTCTTGAATGCATGCAAATGGATTCATGAATCGATTCAAGTGCGTAATCGAACGCACTCACTGGTTAGGGCATCGCTGGCCTCAAGCAAAGGTCCCTGGTTCAAGTCCTGGTTGTAACAGTCAAAAATGTCTTCAGCCTTTCCCCTTTTCCATTCGGTCAACTAATGAATGTTTGTGCTTTCAATTTGGGAACACGGTCAACTGGGTACTCACAGCTCGGAGTGAGGGTAACAAGGATGCAGTTTACAGGGTTATGGGCCGTTACACGCCCGATTGGTTGAGAGACTCACCTACTCTCCCCTGACTCACTTGTGAGGTCTGCATTCGCCACTCATTTGTGCAAGGCATAGGCATAGTGGTGGCCTGCGGAAGCGAAGGCTAGTTTGTGTGTTTCTGAACATTCAAGCGATGCCAACGCGAATCCCGCGAATTATTATTATTATTAAAAGGATTTGTCTCTCCCCCCCCCCCACATGTTTAAGAATTATTGCTTTTTTGTAGTATTGAAGGTGCTGAGACTGTACTCAATCGAATGAGAGAGCGCTGCACAGTCGATAGATGACCATACAGGGTAGTCTGTTCCATCTCTCAACACACTCAACCGCTGCATCTTTGGCCCATAATTATGATGTCCACCATGTTGGCCCCACTGTTCAGATGCCAATATCACATTTTGCACAAATTTAGTCACATTCCTTATATTTTACTGCAAACCACTCACCCAATTCCTAATACAAGAAAGAAAGATTCCTAGCTATTCATTGTTATAGGAAACGAGCGGAATTCGCCTTGTACGTACTTGGATAAGACATACACTTGATCAGGATGGGCAGTGTTACGGGAAGGCGTGTGTTGCTCCAGAAGGAAGTGATTTCGGATGAAACACAGGTCAGATTCTTAAGCACTCAGTCATACTTTACTGTTATAGGTCTGACTGGTCTTTCGACAGCTTCATTGCATTGCACAAAATGTCTGTTGGCATTCATGCTGTGTGTTTTTGTGCAGCGGAATGCCAATCTACGATAGTCCCTATGCCAACTGAGAGGTCAACGGCCTCTATAACGAAGTCTATGTAAAGCGTCCCCTCAAAAACACTGAAAGGGATTCTCCCGGAAGCCTCACTCGGTGGCCGACGGGATGATGAAGGCGATTTCAACTCTAGCACTAGTCGGAGGAGAAGGCGAAATAATGGGAGCACCAGTGGGCTAAGCAAGACTGGTCTTCCTACTAGGCATGCATGTGATGCACCATGCTCAGTGAACCCTCGCAGTACTACACTCAAGCAAAGTCTCCGGCTAGCTGTATGCTCAGTCTATACATTCTTCATCTTATCTTTTTTTTCTTTCTTTTTTAATGCCAGAAGTCGTCTTCATAATAACGAGGCAGATTTGCCTGTTTGTTGTACGACCTTAAATAAATCCAACCAACCAACCACTCAAACCAACACAGTACACCGGACAATAACCAGATACAAATAACATAAAGCCCATAACAGACGGCCAATGGGACATGCTTGTGGACCATTAGTTCACTCCCACCCACCTCATCGAATCCACAGTTGAAATATGGAAACTGGATGGCTTTTCCAGGAAGCAGCAAATGAAGAATTCAGCGGTGCAAGGTTGCTCGACTCTTCATCAAGTACACTGCAAGAAGATGCCAACCTTTATCATCTGTTGTCATAGAGAAGATTATTCAATTCGTCCCAAGGGTCTCCACTTGTGCTACTTTGCACTGCACTTTTTTTCTTTCTTTTTTTTACTAGAATCACGTAAACCCGTCATGTGTGAGCCATGAATACGGGGCATTGTGGGCAAGTGAGTTTGCTGCCTGAAGGTGAGCATATCAGCAACACTAACTCACCGTACTTTGGTCCTTTCCGGGCCTTGTTTTCTTGCCTATGTCGACTCTGGCTAATCAGAGCCCAAACTGGCCTGGGAAGCGGAATTTTGGCTCGTGTACATCGCGTACTTTCTTTAATATGCTTTCCACAATTTTTGCGTTAAACATGCTTGCCACAATTGTGGATTAGACCTCGCCTTTGCTCTTTAAGCTGTGTTTGATCACATTATGCTGCCGGCTTCTCTTTTCCTCTCTTTGCATCTGACACAATGTTTCAATAGAAAACAAATAGGCGTCACTAGTTTTCGACTAAATGCTCTTGCGTTGCCGATAGTTTGCGATGAATTTCTGAAAAGCTGTCTAATTGTATGGCTTTGCGTACCCAGACACCATGCATGATGCGATAGTCCGGTTACACAGCTGTAAAAACTATTGCGTTATTCCACGGAAATGAGTTCTCTGAGCTTGCCGCGCGTTCCGACTTTGAAGTACAACTTCGAGAAGCTCCGGTTTCTCATTCCCCTTGGTACATGTCTATTTGTGTCGGTGGGTGTGGGTGGGCGTGGGTGGTGTGGGTGTTGGAATGAGTAGTATTGTGTGTATATACCTATGAAAGAATCCTCTATCTAATTTTTGCAAACTAGGAAGCGAGGGCGGCTCAAAGCGGGCCAAATCACGAAGAGGAGACCAATGGGAGAAGAAAGAAAGTGGCACAATAGGATCGAAACAGAGTCAAACGTCTCGGGAAGCTGAACTTTGGCACAAAAAAAAGGATTTATAAGATGTGATACGGGGAAAAAGACTTCAGGGAGCTGAACTAATTCTATTCATTCCTGATAGGTGTTTGAATAGAGACCAGAGTTTAACATCAGTTCGTGACATACAGCTGATGATGTTAATGCCGTGAGGCAGAAAGCTCAACTGTCTACAACATAAACTGGAGAAGCACAAGGAGATGCCCCCGTTAAGAATCATAGAACATATCCTGTATGGTGACAGATAATGAACGACGTTGCCCAGGAAACGAGAGTCTGAAAAATGTGCCACAACTCTAGTTCCCCTTGCTGCTGCTAGCTCGCAGAGCTGTCCACTTTTCACATACCAACTGTGGAGTGGTGGGAGACGGAGCTCTCCAGTGCAGCAAGGATGTCTCTGGTCAAGCTTATAATAATAATGATAAGCTTCATGTCTAACCGGCTAGGGGTGGGTTATGGGATGTGGTTGCTTGTGTGCAGTGGGCAGTAACCCACAGCACCTGACACCACCTTGTCTAGATGAAGCAATCCGGCAAGCTGGCTTCACTCTTCCCTCCTTGAAGGGGGCTCTCGAAGCTTTTGTTATCGCTAAGGGATTTTGGTTCGCTGTCCAGCTGTGGCCCTCCATCAGTGACGTCTGCAAGGCTCCAATTTGACACGGACACCTGGCAGGAGTGGTCGTCGTTCACGCCCAGAAAACTGCCCACGTCGCCGTCATCCATTCGGCTTTGGAACGCCAAGTCGAACTCCCCTTCTCTCACCGCCAGCGTTGCGGCTGTGTTTGCACGCTTCATCCAGTCATCATTGGTATTAGCAGGCTTGTTGCGGGAAAATCCCAGGTATCTGTTCGTGTTGTTTGGCTGGTTGTCATTTTTTTGATAGATTTCATTGTAGAGATTCTCGTCGCACCCAATGCAAGAGCTATCTATGTACGGACTGCCATAGATTCTTCCACCGCTACATAAACACATACACAAGAAGGATGGCATCAGGCAACTTCTATAACAGTTTATCTAAGATAATGCCTGGATGCAGTGAATGGGATTTTCGGTCTTTGACCACATGCTGGTGAGCTGATCTACTCACCTCCCACCGCTTTAGGAGCTGCATCTGCGCCTTGATCCTTGAAGGGTTGTGGCGTTCCTACGGATGCGGAAAACTCGGCCTCTATATAGATAAACCGAGTCTCACGCGAGCCGTGAAATTTTTAAAGATAATGCCTGCTCAATCGGCATCAGGACAATGCGCTCACAGAAATCCAACCCAAAGTGCAAAGCCGCACGTCGCCCTGGATTAGTTCGGACTACATCACTGTAATTATTTCAAATGGTGAACTGTACTATTCGGCCAATAAAATGTAAAGAACTCTTCCTCTCCTCTCCTCCATGCGCTCTCACAGCCGACTCACTGCTACCCTCAGTAGCCATTACACACACACCAACCAAGGAAGGGTTGCAGGTAGATACTGAAATTACTCCTGACAGCTGTTTTGCCTTCATAAGGCTCATCAGAGAAGGTGATATTGAATAGGATGATATCAGGTGGAGATGGTCAGATTTATACTACAAAACATGGGCGCAAGATTACGGGCAAAGTGTGAGAATGAGAAGTTACAATTCTCCAGCAACACAGTGCCAGGGGTCCAAGAAAATGGCAGGTGAGTAATCCAATCACAAGCTGCTAGCCTCTCCAGCAACACAGTGCCACGGGTTCCAAGAAAATGGCAGGTGAGAAATCCAATCACAAGCTGCTAACATTAATTTTCTAACGGCTAGGTGATAGTTTTTAAGAATTTTGGCGAGCCACAGCAAAACAGCTGTCAGGAGTAATTTCAGTATCTACCTGCAACCCTTCCTTGCTTGGTTTGTGTAATGGCTACTGAGGGTAGCAGTGAGTCGGCTGTGAGAGCGCATGGAGGAGAGGAGAGGAAGAGTTCTTTACATCACTGTAGTAGTACATATGCTGGTCCAGCTGCATTCATGCCACCCCTAGGGAGACAGCGTTTTTTTCTGTAATCTGTAGTTTCTGTAGAGTGCTTGGGTTGCAATAAAGCAGAGACCCTACGGTCGGTCAAGCTTCCCCTGCCTCTCCCCCACTCCTGCCATTCCATATGTCTCATCGCTGCCTTGCTGCTTTGTGCTGTCAAATGGTATGTGTTTTTGAAAGAAAAAACCCGAAAAACAGCCGTGCAAATAGAGGGCTCCAAACAGTACAGTAGTACAGTAGAACCTGTAACTAAAGACCACCTGGTAGTACAGTAAAACCTGTAACTAAAGACCACCTGGTAGTACAGACCACTTCGCCAGGCATGGACGGTCTCACATTCAGGGCGACATGCAGCTTTGCACTTTGGGTTGGATTTCTGTGAGCGCAACTGTACTAACAACATTGCTCTGTTGCCGATTCAGCAGGGATTATCTTAGATAAACTATTGAGTTATGAGTAAACTGTTGCCTGATGCCATCCTTCTTGTGTATGTGTTAATGTAGCAGTGGAAGAATCTATGACAGTCCGTACATAGATAACTCTTGCATTGGGTGCGATGAGAATCTCTACAATGAAATCTATCAAAAAAATGACAACCAGCCAAACAACACGAACAGATACCTGGGATTTTCCCGCAACAAGCCCACTAATACCAATCATGACTGGATGAAGCGTGCAAACACAGCCGCAACGCTGGCGGTGGGAGAAGGGGAGTTCGACTCGGCGTTCCAAAGCCGAATGGATGCAGGCGACGTGGGCAGTTTTCTGGGCGTAAACGACGACCACTCCTGCCAGGTGTCCGTGTCAAATTGGAGCCTGGCTGACGTCACCGATGGAGGGCCACAGCTGGACAGCAAACCAGAATCCCTTAGCGATAACAAAAGTTTTGAGAGCCCCCTTTAAGGAGGGAAGAGTGAAGCCAGCTTGCCGGATTGCTTCATCTAGACGAGGTGGTGTCAGGTGCCGAGGGTTACTGCCGACTGCACACAAGGAACCACATCCCATAACTGACCCCTAACCTGATAGACATGAAGCTAATCATTATACCAGGTTGACCAGAGACAAGCTTGCTGCACTGGAGAGCTCTGTCTCCCACCACTCCACAGTTGGAATGTGAAAAGTCGACAGCTCTGCAAGCTAGCAGCAGCAAGGAGACCTGGAAATGGTGGCACATTTTTCGGACTCTCGTTTACTTGGGCAGCGTCGGTCATTATCTGTCACCATAGAGGATGTTCTATAATTCTTAACAGGGGCATCTCCTTGTGCTTCTCCGGTATATGCTATAGAAAGTTGGGCTTTCTGCCCCACGGCATTCACATCATCAGTGGCATCTCACTTACTAATGTTCAACCTTGGTCTCTATTCAAACACCTTTCAGTCATGAATAGAATAAGTTCGGCTCCCTCGAAGTCATTTTCCCCGTATTACATCTTATAAATATTTTTGTGCCAAAGTTCAACCCCCGCTTGCCCCATTTAGCTTCCGGAGACGTCTGACTCTGTTTTGATCCTATTGTGCCACTTTCTTTCTTCTCCCATTGGTCTCCTCTTCGCCCCCCCCCCCCTCCATCTCTCCCTCCATACCTGTGCAGTAGGTGCTGATATTTCATACACACTTGGGCAGTGCAAGTTTCCTGCTGTATGCTGTAGAGTGGCCACTGATGTGTAACGATTCGCTTCGGCGACGAAGTTCGGCGGCAGCGAGCCTGGTGTCGCTCCAGCGAAACCACGTGTGTGTGGTCACACATACAAACAGGGCACAACTCCTGCTTTGGCGGAAAATGAGACTGTGGTGCATACGGTACGGAGAATAGACGAGGTCAATGACTATAACTTGCACGCATTTTTGTTGCATGGACATCATACGCATACAAATTTCTCGTAGCAAGTCCATATACAGCAGACCGTGGTGTTTTCCGCTGAAGCGAATCCGCAGAAGCGACAGTCTCGCTTCGAAAATTTTGGAGGAAGCGGATTGGAGTTTCCGCTGAAGCGGAAGTTCCGCTTTTCGCCGTTGCCATGCCATTTTTCGCTCCTGCGACCTCGCTTCAGCGTATACGCTACTTTCGAGTGCATGTGTGACCGGGCCCTTAGGGCCCGGTCACACATGCACTCGAAAGTGGCGTATACGCTGAAGCGAGGTCGCAGAAGCGAAAAATGGCATGGCAACGGCGAAAAGCGGAACTTCCGCTTCAGCGGAAACTCCAATCCGCTTCCTCCAAAATTTTCGAAGCGAGACTGTCGCTTCTGCGGATTCGCTTCAGCGGAAAACACCACGGTCTGCTGTATATGGACTTGCTACGAGAAATTTGTATGCGTATGATTTCCATGCAACAAAAATGCGTGCAAGATATTCATTGACCTCGTCTATTCTCCGTACCGTATGTACCACAGTCCACTTTACTCTCATTTTCCGCCAAAGTAGGAGTTGTGCCCTGTTTGCATGTGTGACCATACACACGTGGTTTCGCTGGAGCGACACCAGGTTCGCTGCCGCCGAACCTCGTCGCCGAAGCGAAACCCCAATGCATGTGTGACCGGGCCCTAAGGAGAAAGAAAGCGGCACAATGTGATCAAACACAGCTCTTAAAATGCTTCAGGAAGCTGAAAGAGCAAAGGCAGACTACTTAAGTGACCGGCAGCAAAGAGTTGTCACTGGGAACCAGCACAGCAAGGTATTCCAGCCCAGCAGTGGTGTGCCCCAGGGTTCCGTACTTGGTCCTCTGCTGTTTGTCCTCTATGTCCGTGGTGTGGCAGCTGAAGTGCAACCGTATGGTGTGCGGACAGTTCAGTTCGCAGATGACATCATGCTCTATATTAGTAGCAGGGACAAACATCAGCTGGAACGCAATATGTCTTCTGCAGTTACACACCTGGCCAGATGGCTTGCCAGCAGGAACCTGGTACTAAACGAGAGTAAAACCCAGATTTTGTTCATCCCTGCCCATCGTTCTGTGAATCCTCGTGTCAGCGTTATGTGCTCTGGAGTTCAGCTGGCACAAGTAGAATCCGCAAAGTATCTTGGTGTCCACATGGACCAAGATCTAAAGTGGACCACAATGGTCAACCAGATCGCCAAGCGAGCTGCCTGTAAAATAGCTGTCCTGTTTAGAAACAGGCGCTGCATGCCCCTCCCGTGCCGCATCACATACCTGAAGTCCCTGATCCTTCCTGACTTCCTGTATGCTAGCAACTGTTTCTCTGCTGGCCTCACCTCACATCAGCTCGAGCGCCTAGAGCGGCTACTCAAGCGCGCAGTCCGCTGTGTTTACAACGCTCCATTTGCATCACCATCTGCGCCGCTGTATTGCCAATTGCGATTGCACTCGCTAGAAGTTATGTACTGCCACAAGCTGCTTGGCTACACTTGGCGCTGCCTTCAGGGTAAATGCAGCACATTGCTTACCGATATGTTCAGTCCTCTTAATGCCGGCCGTGCTACACGTAGTCAGGGAAATCGAGCACTTAAATTTCCAGTCACTAAGACATCCGCTGGCACACATTCTGCCTCATTCCAATGTGTATCACTGTGGAACAGGCTCCAGCCCGACATCAGGAAAATCCCACAGTACCACCGATTCATGCGATCCCTCCCAGCACATGCTGCTTTTCAGTAATGCCACTGCCCGCTGTACTATTATTTCCTTTACTGGCCTAACTGGCTTTAACAAAGTAATACTTTACTACCCACTCTACTCAGTGTCATTACCTTCATTGGCCTTTTATAATTTATTCTCCTTTTTAGTCGATATCATGTAATTAGGCAAATTTGCCTGTTTGTTCTTCGACTCTAAATAAACAAACAAACAAAGGTGAGGTCTAATGTCTTGGTTTTAAGCGCTTATTGGATGATCCAGTTTGGTTTGAACGATATCGTGCAATTTTGTTTGACAACGTTGGCAACGTTTAGTCTCTCACCAGCTACATGTACACATGGTTCATTCAGCATACGTTTTTCTTCTTTTCTCTTTATGTTCACCACTCATCCCCCTTATTTTCTAAACATTTGAACATTTACACTGATGTATGAACATTTACACTGATGATTATACATTGTTTATTTATTTATTTTTTGGTCCCATCGGCCTCTTCATATTTGTGCAGCTGCACTGTTGAGCTTCCGATGTAAACCAAATAATAATAATAATAATAATGCAAAATTGTAGAAAGCATGTTTAACGCAAAAAATTGTAGAAAGCATTATTACAGAAAGTGTGTGATGTACACGAGCCAAAATTAAGCTTCCCAGTCCAGTCTGGACTCTGAACAGCCAGAATCGACTTAGGCAAGAAAACAAGGCCAGGAAAGGACCAAAGCATGGTGAGAGTTAGTGTTGCTGATATGCTCACCTTCAGGCAGCAAACTCACTTGCCCGCAGTGCCCCTTATTCATGGCTCACACATGACGGGTTTACGTGATTCTAGTAAAAAAAAAAAAAAAGTTTAGTGCAGAGTAGCACAAGTGAAAACCCTTGGGAAGAATTGAATAATGTTCTCTATGACATCAGATGATAAAGGTTGGCATCTTATTGCCGTGTATGTGATGAAGAATTTAGTAACCTTGCACCGCTGAATTCCACATTTGCCGCTTCCTGGGAAAGCCATCCAGTTTCCACATTTCAACTGTGGATTAGGTGAGGTGGGTGGGAGTGAACTATAAGTCTATAAGCACGTCCCATTGGCAATCTGTTATGGGCTTTATGTCATTTATATCTGGCTAGTGTCCGGTGTACTGTGTTGGCTTAAGTGGTTGGTTGGTTGGATTTATTTAAAGTCGTACAAGAAACAGGCATATCTGCCTCCTTATATGAAGACGACTTCTGGCAGTAAAACATGTAAAAGAGCAAAAGAAAAAGATAAGAATGATCAAGAATGTATAGACTGAGCATACAGCTAGCCGGAGACTGAGCTTGAGTGTAGTACTGCGAGGGCTCACTGAGCATGGTGCATCACATGCATGCCTAGTACCAAGTCATGTCTAGTGCCAAGTCATGCTTAGCTCACTGCTGCTCCCATTTCGCCTTCTCCTCCGACTAGCGCTAGAGTTGAAATCGCCTTTATCATCCCATCGGCCACGGAGTGAGGCTTCCGGGAAAATCCCTGATATCTGTTGCTGTAGTTGCTGGTGCTGCTTTCAGTGTTTTTGAGGGGACGCTTTACATAGACTTCGTTATAGAGGCCGTTGACCTCGCAGTTGGCATAGGGACTATCGTAGATTGACATTCCGCTGCACAAAACATAAAGCATGGATGCCAACAGACAATTTGTGCAATGCTCGGAAAAGACCGGTAAGACCTAGAACAGTAATGTATGGCCGAGTGCTTTAGTATCTGACCTGCGTTCAATCCCAAAGCACTTCCTTCTGGAGCAATACACGCCTTCCCCTGACACTGCCCATCTTACGCAAGAGAATGTCTGATCCAAGTACGTACAAGGCGAATTCCGCTCGTTCTCTGTAGCAATGAGTAGCTAGACATATTTGCCATGTCGTCCTTCTTTCGCGTATTACGAATTGGGTGCGTGATTTCAAGTGAAATAGAATAAACTGAATACGACTACATTTGTGCAGAATGCGATAATGGCATCTGAACAGTGGGGCCAACATGGTGGACATCATAATTATGGGCCAAAGATGCAGCGGTTGAGTGTGTTGAGAGATGGAACAGACTACCCTGTATGGCCATCTATCGACTGTGCAGCGCTCTCTCATTCGATTGAGTACAGTCTCAGCACCTTCAATACTACAAAAAAGCAATAATTCTTAAACATGTGGGGGGGGGGGGGAGACAAATCCTTTTGATATTCCCAAATTGAAAGCACAAACATTCATTAGTTGACCGAATGGAAAAGGGGAAAGGCTGAAGACATTTTTGACTGTTACAACCAGGCCTTGAACCAGGGACCTTTGCTTGAGGCCAGCGATGCCCTAACCAGTGGGTGCGCTCGATTACGCACTTGAATCGATTCATGAATCCATTTGCATGCATTCAAGACGTTCGATTTTCATGTCATGAGCCCTGGAATAGATTTGGAATACACTCACCCTATTCACATCACATTTGGTGATGTGAATAGCGTGAATCGATTCATGAATCGATTCGCGGGCATAGTCGAACGCACTCACTGAGCTATGGTGCAGCTGAAAGCATAAGTGTGAAACTAATGAAACTAACCTGTCTTCGTTGACGGTATTTGGGACCGGTATTCCCACACGTGGGCTTGAGCTTTTCTGTCCCCTCCGCCACAACACTAATCCAATGCCCATTGCAATCACCAGCGCAATGCCCACTGCCATGACCGCCCACTTCCACCAGGCAAGCACCTGTATTGTCCCTTGCTTGCCGTTGCCGCTTTCAGTCACCACTGAAGTAGAGAAATGTGTTGAAAACAAAAGGCCTCTGTCAAAACTAGCAGAGGTCTTATTACCTACTAGTACATGTCAAATGAGTAATGCAACAATCTCTGATCTTCCTCTATGCACTCTCACTGTACACGCATGGCTACCCTCGGTAGCCATAGAAAAACACAAATAGACAACGAAGGGGTTGCGGCATTATCAGTAAGAATACTTGAAGTACCCATAACGTCCGCTGTTTACTGGTGTGTGTAATGGTTACCGAGGGTAACCAGGTGCCGGCAGTGAGAGCACATGAAGAAAGAGGAGAGATTTTTGGATTATTGACGAGCCAAATGGTACCGGTTACACTATATCGATGCTCAATCAGTGCTTGCAAAACTGGCAGCTTCCTTCTTTTTGGCATAATGTTATCCTACTGGTGGTGGCACGTCCTACGGCAACTAGTTTAATGCTACACAGAAATCGTCGCTCTAGAAGAAATCATGCGGTCGTCTCTCTAGTTTAGTTTCCGTGAACCACTCAGGGAATCAGCATGGCAAGGTATTCCACGGGTAGTAGACAGCAAGAGATCGAATATCAATAGAGCGCGTGCACATCCGTGGTCATAGTGCACCTCCGAAATCACTACCAATTACTTGTAAAAAGACTCAACTACTGGGCAGCTTATCACACGAAGAACAGATAAAAAAGAATACCAAGTGCTCTTTAAGTTTCTATGTGCACGATGATATTCTACACAAACAAATCAGACTTACTCTTCACACATAGCGTCTCATTGTGCACCCATCCATCAGCCTGACAGGACGCATTTCGAAGCGGCATGTAGCCTTCCACGCAAGCTGGACTAGAATCAGTGTGCAGTTGTGTGACGTTGAGAGTGCCATCGTTGACCTGCTTGGCCGGGCAATTAACACCTAGGGATGAAGTTTGGCACGCACGCGCACACACACACACACACACACACACATGGACGTATTAGGCAAGCCAATGATAACAAGAAGGGCACACCCATAGACGAGACACAAATGGAGAGCCACGGATACAAATTAAAAAAAGAGTGTCCAAAGTTTCCATGTTTATCGTTGAATACCAATATTACAGTCATCTGTGAGTATTGTGCGTATTGCAGACTGTCCAACCTCCTGGTCACTCCAAATCTGGACACCTTAGGGGTCGCCCACAAATACCAACATTTTTGCAGAAGATATTGGTTGGTTTGGGGCAGGGGGTCGTGCATACTTTTCCACACCAGTATCATGCTTGTAATAGTGAGTGTTGTCCAAACAATGGATGGGGGGGGGGGGGGGGGGGGGGAGTCCCCTCACACCAGAACACAGGGGTTTTATATGATTGGATTATGGAAGTATTCGACAATAGTGTAGACAGGAATGGAAAGGATAAAAGGACAACGACAACTCAAGACTAGAATAGAAAAGAACTTGAAACCCACTGGAGCATGCGCTCTTCTATATGTGAGTCTCATTGCCAAGAGCAACGAGCGGGAAATACGAATAGTGAGTATGTACAGGTCGTAGCATTAATACACCTATTACAACATGTAAACTTTGGGTATAGATGGGTTATGTCTCTACACACGCTATCCAACTATAGTACCCTCGAGCGCCGAAGAACGGAACGCCGAAGAATGCCCAGGGTAGAATTCCTCCAATTTTTAAGAATGGTCTATGCTGGATCTTTGCAGATAAGAACGGAGGCCGTAATGCACACTATAATGTACACTTATTTATTTTACGAGTTGGATTTGTGAATAGTAGTAAAAAAAAATCAGACGTATACGTCGGTATAGATGTACATGTAAAGCGGGATTCACAGAAGCTTTTTTGCGATGCGACACGCGATGCGACGCGATCTGCGATGGATGCGTGCGATGCGAACTCGCGAAATACCATTCACAGAAGAAGTCAGCGATGCGACAAAGTTTTGCTGATTTGGGTACGTCACCATGATATTCGCGCGGTTTGACACAACTTGTAAAAATTTATAGGCAACTCTTGCACCTTTGTACAACTTTGCTGTAGAAAAGGTCAAAATCGTACACCAAATCGCTTGTCGCATCGCATCGCATCGCAAAAGTTGAGCCAAGCTCAACTTCTGCGATGGCCTGCGATGGCCCAGTTGCGGCAGTTGCGTGGGGTGCGACATGGCTGCGATTTGGGGTTTTCCCGTTTTCGCGTCTGTCGCATCGCGTGTCGCATCGCAAAAAAGCTTCTGTGAATCCCGCTTTAAAAGACTGTACCATAGAATAAGAACGAAACTGCTGTGTTCGCTAAAAATAAGAACGGGCTAGGCTAGAACCCTGCCCCCCCCCCCCCCCCCCCCCCGTTCTTCGGCGCCCTACAGTACTGCAGTAATAGATTATGCTTGCTTCCCAAAGAAATCCACTGCACTATTGAGACTTTTCACAGAACTCTCATGAAGACTCTTGAATCTATGCTGTGCGCCCCATCATTGCTATGCAGCAAACACAACAGAAAGAATCAATCCACTCCCAATAAATTACTAGTAAGAAAACTTACGATTGCATACGTAATCCCCCTTCAAGTTGATGCATTCAAAACCAGCTTCGCAGGGAGTCGAGAACTTGCACTCATCCCAATCTAGTACAAAGCATAAACACGCCAAATCAAGAAGTAATGACCAGACATAGAAGGCAAATACGGCAAGTATCATGACATCTACTTCACTTCTCACTCCAAACTCCAAAACGGTCTCTTTACTGCGATTCAAATTTAAACTCAAAAAAATATTACACCACTTTTGACCGTTTTGGAGTTTGGAGTTGAGAAGTGAGGTTTGCTCAATGTGCAAGTAGCTGCGTTGGAGTTCGCGGACAATTAGAAAAGAGTATCATAACTTGTAGAATATCATGAGAAACAGATATAACAAATCCACTCTCACGGTGGCAGGATAGGCGTGGCTTCACACACTCCTAAAACGTTTCCTCGAACACAAAATGCTACAAAGAACCTCCAACACTGTGTGGAAGGAGTAGCCAGTATTACAAGGGGAACGATCTAAATGCAGTAGCTATCCACCCCGGGAACGGTATCATTGAAGAGGGGTGGGCCAGTAAAAATCGAATACGTGAAACGAGCCCTTCGCACGTTAGACCACTCTCAAAGTCTCGCACAATCATTGTCCAAGTGCCCAAACTGCCTTTCAATTGGTTACCTGAATGTCTGAATTGCCACATGCATGAGGATGAGCACTATCTGAAAAATGTGCGCACATTTCAGAGGCGTAAAGCATATACGGCAATCCAAGAATAACTGCATACATCGCTCAAGGAGATTCAATCTCGTGAGTAAAGGGTGCGCGGGGCACCTGTTCACATGCCAGTGTGCCCGTGTCCTGGGGGCTGCAGAGCACCCCGGCGTTGCACTCGCTCATTTGTCCAGATTTCATTAAGCGCTCTAGACTCTACATGATAACAAGACATGGCCAGCAATCGAGGACATCTGAGAGTTGTAATTTTTGTACTCCTCCCAGGTGTGATTTTTGGCGTGCTGGGCCAAGCACAAGGAAGCCATCTGCAAAAAAACTGCAGAATATGGTTGTTGTTTGATCCTTTGGTGTAATCTTTGTTTCTAGTCGAAGCTAGTTGCTGTTTGGAGCAGAAACGCTGAAATTGACTATTTTCTGCATGTACTCATACATGTACTCATGTACTCAGGCATGCAGTCTCACTCGTATTTTAGCTATTTTTCTGGAATGGATGCTGCTCTGCGCCCCTTGGTGAACCTTTCCTGCGCTCGTGGAGCAGCTGAAAAGGACCACTGGTATGTCTGGTTCCTGGTTTGAAAGTGGAGAGTCGACTTTTGTGCCTTGAAAAAGGAGTAGAGAGCGATAAAGGTACGTCTGTGGCTTATTTTTGAGTGCTCCTCGTACATTTTTGATCGTGATAGAAATTCTCAGACCAAAGTCAGACCAAAGTCAGCGATGATGGCCGTACAGTTTTCTTGTGGATTTTTTAGTTGTTTCATCTCGTATCTATGTCAGTATCGTGATGGTGAAGTGGAGAGGGTGATTTTCTTCCACTAGGCTTCGTTCGGCCAACTTTGCTTCGTCCTCGTTGAAAAGTGATCCTGAAAAAAAGGTCGATTCGCAAAATTATGTAGATTTTCAATGTACGTGGTGACATGCGATTGCTGGCTATGGTAATTCAACAAGAGTAATTCATGTCTTTAAGCCGACATCCCCCCCCCCCCTCCCCCTCCCCCAGTATGTCGGTCGGGCTGTGCAGAAATTTGCTCCTGATACAATAGTAAAAAGCCCACTGCATATCGCCAAATATGGAGTGCATAGGTAATGCGTGTGAGAATGCTGTGACCAGGAATGCGCTGTTAAACGCACTACACGACCATGCCCAGGCGGCTGTGGGGTGGGGGGGGGGGGGCAGTACAAAAGATGACATTACGCAACGGGCTTACGTATATCATGTTCATCAATCCTTACCGAAAGCACAGATGAATGCGTCCGTTGGTGACTTTGTCCAGCTCACACCTTTGTTAACCTCACCGGTTCGCAGGTCATAGCTACCTCTAGATCCTCGTGTGTTGAATCGTAACCAGAAGGTGCCCTTTCCGGTCTTTGTTAATTCATCTAGCTTGTCCTGAATACAATACACACAGCACATTCACAGTATACATTACATTGTGAATGCACCGACGAGTATGACCAGTGGCTGGCTGAGGGTATTGCAATTCAAACCAGATCAAGAAAGTTTCAAACACTTGTCAGGTCCTTGCTGTGCCAAAACAGTAAACATCTCTTGTCTTTTGATCAGCACAATCATGCACACATGCAGTAATGTAGCCACATGCTCACCCATGCACACGCATACACACACATGCATGCACACGTGCACACCTGTGTGCATATGCACACACACATACACACACACAAGCCACAAACGTCTTTATAATGCATACACACACGCATGCACACACACACACACACACACACACACACACACACACACACACACACACACACACACACACACACCATGTACCATGTATACGCCAAGCACGCAAATCTGCAAATGCACTGGATGGGCACCCACAGATTTTCTCTTTATAGCAACGATAGCGGATCTGATTCTGATTGAAACAGATCAAGACAAGCGCCAGATAACTGTCTAATCCACACAACTGGCGAAGCCATGTGAATAAACCCCCCAATGCACACCTGGTCTACACCACACGGAGTACATCGGAATAGGACGGCCAAGACAGTTACCTATGCACACCCTACACTTGCTGGGGTAACCAGTATAGACAGCACGCTGCTTCGATAAAAGCAGACACTAGATGCACTGGTACCTTGAAGTGAAATTGGAGTTATTTTACCAACCAGCCTCGGCAACTGGGTACTGGGAACCCAGGACCAACAGACGTGCCAACAACCTCAGCCATGAAAGCTATTATAGTAACGACACACTGGACTGTAGAGCCGAAACTAGTCCAATTTCCAAAATACTTTGGCAAGAGGGTGTCCAACCGACACACACACACACATACACACACACACACATACACACACACACACACACTGGCGCGCATGCGTGCGCCAGGGTACAGAACCACAATCTACTTCTCCATTAGACAACAACGTCTCTGAGTGCTTTCCTGGGATAATGTTGCTTACCCTGAAGCACAGAGACCTGTTCAATCTTCGGAAATCTTTAAATCGTAGCATCCTGTTCTCCTGAGCCAAACACTTGGCAGCTGCAACGGACACCGGTACTGATTTGAGCTGAAATGTGACGTTGAATCCATTGCAGTAGAATCTGGAAGCTGTTGAAGAAATCAAGCAGAGCAAGTGGCACAAAATGCAGAAAAACATACCGTGACAATGCTTGGTTATTCTTGGTTTATATATAATAACTAGGAATTTCCCGAAACTCAGAACATACATTCATTCTGATTTCAAGCAAACATTTTTTACTCCATCCGTAGCCTTTGGGGTCGTTTTCGTTGAAAATCCATTTGTTGTAAATCTAGATAGGAGCAGGCAGGCATAGTGGAATGGTCTAAGATCATGATTGAAAAACAAAGGGCACCAGGTTCAAGTCCTGCTTGGAAGCGGAAGGATTTCTTTCCAGCCGTGCCGCGATCCACAGTTAATTGGGAACTCGTAGCCTGGCACGAGGAAAACATGGATGCAGTGAATGGTATTTTCGGTCTTTGATCAATTGTTGGTGAGCTGTTCTACTCACCTCTCACCGCTTTAGGAGCTGCACCTGCCCCTTGATCCTTGAAGGGTGGTGGCGTTCCTACGGATGCGGAAAACTCGGCCTCTAGCCGAGTCTGACGCGAACCGTGATTTTTTATGAAAAGGGTCAAGAAGGTGCCTGGTAGACGGGCATGCCCGGACTTATTTATTTTTAATTTTTTTAATTTTACTGAATACCACAGAACCATCAGATGCTGCACAGCGAGGGCGGTGGCATATTGGATGGAAGTGGGGTGGGGCAAAAGTAACTCCTCCGCCCAAAGGTCTCGGAATCATCGTTACTCCTGCGCGCCGGATCTGGGGAGATATCTTTGATATCTTGTAGCAATATTCTCAAAGAGGTTTTCTAAGCTCTGCATGCAGCAATGCAGTTGAGACTGAGTACAATGGAAGAGAGAGACCGACTACTCGGTCTATGTCACTTACTGGGCTCTGCAGGTGCTTGGTGCATGCAGCGTGGCAAGCACAGGTTCAGCTGCTTCTCGCCAAGGATGACGCGAGCGTCGCAGACGTAGGACTCCGTCATGGTTCTGCAGGTATGTACTTCACCAGTCGTGTTGACGTCTGGCGTCAATGTGGCCAACAGCTGTGCGTAATTGGCTAGAAAAAGACGAAAAGAACATTCATTGACTCAGATGCAAAGCACATCAATAAAACTGTGAACGATACCACTCGGCTGCTCCATGATGCTGCTATCTATACTTTAGGTGCCCGTCACCCCTTCGTTGTTTGGAAGAATTGGTGTGAGTAGTGGCTACCGAGGATAGCAATGGTTGCCTTTCGAGCGCATGGAGGAGGAGATGAGGAGAGATTGTTGTTAGCTGGAAAGCCAAGGATATATTTGAAGGGCTCCAATTCAAAACGAGATAAATCCATAATGTGGAAATTTCAGAAAGTACATTTTTTCATTTGTTCTTTTTCAGTCTGCATTACAGCATCAATGACTTTTATCGCGTTTTGCAGAAGAACACAAACTTCAGGCATCATTTTGACTGGGATGTATTGCATTTTGACCTGTAAAGCCAACACACAGACGTCCATGGGGTGAAAACGAATTCTTTCGTGGCAAAAAAACGCAAAAGCTCCGGTTTGGTCTTTATCGCGTTTCGAAATGGAGGCCTTCATTTATAGGAGAGAAAACGGGTGTTTTGAGAAGTTGGAAATTTAGGTGAGGACTGGTCCAGTCTAAGCTCAGCTCTTTCTCAGTAACCTGGCCCCGTAAAACCTGCCCACATGTTACTCAGAAAAGAGCCCTTTGTATCTGTGGGGGGGGGGGGAGGTTTTATACATGACTGGCTATGGGTAAGATAAAGGCCTCAGGTACCGAAGGTCTGGCGCTCTTCAGACGTTGTTCTATAGCTTTGGTCCAGCTGATTGCTATTCTGTTGCATATGGCGAATTTGGAGAAGATTACACCACACACACACGTGCGCACACACACACACACACACACATGCACACACACACATACACACACACATTGCTTATTTTTCCTAGTCATCCTCTGAAAAGGATTACTATAATGAATGAATAACCGTTCGCTTTATACTTACACCCATGAAATCCCAGCGCAATTTGCAGACTTACAGGGCAGGCAAACAAAGTCGTAAGGCCCGTTACTTGGTCGGATGAAACCCTGAACGCCATCCTGTGGGTCAAACACCTCACCCCTGCCTGTAGAGTCCAAGAGCCACACTGGATTAGAACGATTCAACACACAGCCGCGCTCCTGAGCAGACAGAGTGCCCAGATAGAGATCATTCATTAGAACGGAGCTGGCATTCAGGCAGGCTTGTCTTGAGGAGTTGAGATCCGATGTTGTCCCAGTCAAGTAGATTGCCGATCCGCATTGGATTTGCGCTATGTGTTGAAACAGGTGGACCCAGCGTGAGTAGAGATACAAACACACACACACACAGACACACACAGATACACACACACACATGTGCACACACACACACATACCCAAACACACACGCACACTACCTCTATCATTCCCCACCCATTTCACCCAAAGAACATCCAAAAGTTCAAGACAGCAGCTTATCACCATCTCCTCAGAACGAACTGGCACTGGGCCACTCATAGCATACGCGAGTAAGAGGGTACAGTGTCCTACCCTGCTTGGACATACATGTAATCTCTCCTCACGGGCAGTCTCCTCTTGAATTTAAAAGTCTAACAGCGTTCACATCAATACTCAACTTATTCTTTTGCTCACTGAGCAATACAATCTCTCCATTTTCTTTCTTCTGTTTTCTTTTTCAATTTAATCCTCCCCACCCAATATCCCTTTGGTGCGTCCATGGAGCTATGAAGCCGAGACCTCTGGTCGGCGGAGCTTAATGGGCCCCACCACCACACTCCATCATTCACCCCAGTGTCTGGAGATATGTGGATTTTGTAGAAAAAAAAGAAAAAAAACACACACACACACACACACACACAAACTAACACGAAAGCACACAAAGTTGACAATTATAGTGACGTGCACTGCAGTCCTGGACGAAAGTGGGGTTTAAAACCACAACGAAAGAATGGCGAGTGATATTTTGGAGAAAGTAGATGCACTACGTGATAAAATGATTGCATTGCGTCTGGTCTGGCTCATGGAAAGGACAGCACAGGTACATTATGTTGTTGAGGTGTTCTTGAAACTAAGCTACGTCCTCTGAGGTTGATACAGTGCCTCTTATTAGTTCTTGCAGCTTTCAAACACACATCTTTTTCTGTTCGCAAGACACCACAAGCGGCAAGAACATACACTGCATGGTAGAAGTAGCTGTAGCTGTGGTGAAACTGGAGTATCTCAGCCGCCATGGGGTCTCGGCTTCAGTGATACTCCATAGCACCAAGGAAGCAGGACATTACCGTAAAAGTCCGTAAATAAGTACCTGCCCGAAAGAAATACCCCCTTCATTCTTTTGGCTCTGTCTGTTGAAGTCAAGTCAAGCCCGATAAACATACTTCCTCCGTATACAAAAACTTCGTGACTTTTTTTGAAGGCTGCGCTTAGCTCTGGAATTGTTCCGTTTGACTTGGACTTACACTCGTGGCATTGTCTAACCTGTTTACAAGCTATATACAAAGACAAAAGCAACTCAGACGAATGAGATTGAGTTTATTCAGAGTCTTCGTCGCTCCTGTCATAATCACCTGACGACGCTGACTCCGCATCGCCAAAAGTCGCTGCTTCGCTCGCATTTCGTTCAGATTCTTTTCAGCTGCAATGATGATCCGACGCGGGACTTTGGCTAGCGTACTCTTCATTTCCAGAGCTGTGTACGAATCGGTGTCGACTATTCAGTCGTTCCAACCCGCGACCTCCATTATGCCGTGAAATGAGTCGCTCAAGCACATCCACACGCTTCGTATTTTGTCGGCAGGAGAATCCTCCCAGGATTCTACAACGGCTTCGATGAGGTCCCTGCGATTCCCCTCCTAGGCCACAACGGAGACGTCTGACTGGAGTGGAGAGAGGCGAAGAAAGCCAGGTCGTCGACATTCCGATCCGGAGTCTGCGCTGGTTGCACGACGACTGAAATGTTTCATCTTTCCGTGCGAGCGGAACCGATTTATGTTCTCACGCTGCGTATGGGGCCGCGCACCGCAAGTACGACCCTGGCCAGTTTCAGGGCAGCGAGTGCCGCGTGAGTCGAGACCATGGTGACTCCGTGCTCCAGGCGCGAGCTCCACTTCGTCACGGTGTCAGTTTCGAGCAAGTAAGTGTTAGTTTTTTTGTTATTTGACTCATGAGTTCCTGTCGGCAACGTCCTCACACGCATAGCTTCCGTGGAGAATCTGTTCGAGATCAACCAAACCTACCTCAACATGAATGTGCGTTGTCGATGACAGCCTTTGGCGCGGTTCGTTGAGCAGGTTCTTGCTCAAAAATACAGTAGAAAAAAAGTCACGAAGTTTTTGTATACGGAGGAAGTACTGCCCGAAATATGTACCGGTACGGTGCGCACATGCAGCACGTAGCATGTACATCTACATAAAAGTGACTTCTCCACTACACACACGTCAGGTCCGAAAGTTAGTTCGTGCCCGAATGTCAGTACCTACCCGAAAGTTAGTACGGGTGTGGTCACTAAATTCGGAAGTAAATACGTACTTATTTACGGACTTTTACGGTAGCCAAAGAGACTTACGGTAGTGACTTTACTGCCTCGCACCTAGGCGCTGATTTTTGGAATAAACGTTCCGATACTTCGAATGGGAAAATCCGACATCGCAGTGCTTTTCGGCATGGCCAGGTCAAATTGTAGAATATCGCATTGAGTGTAATGTTTTATCTGAGAGAGGAGATGTTCGTGCCCTTGAGACCCGAAGTCCCATTTCCATACGACAAAATTTAGGAGCTCGCGCTCAGCGCCTTTCAGGGTAGGAATTTCGGGTTGTTCTGGTCGGGTTGCAGCGTCGCAGACTATTCCATCGTCTTTCAGCGTCGAAAAACTACTGGCCATTTGGAACTTCAAGGTGGTGAGATGCTTTCGTCTTCCTCTACGGGCCAATTTGTTCTGCGCCAGCATACCATTGTATGCTATATCCTAGACTCTCTATGCGCAGTTCGAGTGACGTGGTGTGTGCACTGTACACTGAGCTGCACACGATGACTGTGCGGTCGTCTTGAAATTTTCTCCATTCTCCCATCAGTCCCATTCATTTCTGGTTCCAGCAAAAGTCCAACTTGGCGCACTTCAAATCACCATAACTCAAGAATGGATGGGCCGATTTGAATAATACTTGAACATTGCCTATGCCTGGGAGAATCGAATGAAACCAAAATCGAAGCGATTGGAGTAAGTTTTGCAAATTGGGTATTGTCACTACTTACAGAATTCTTCACATCTCAGAAGTTTGCTCCTCAGAGCAGTTCCATTCACCTTCGTTTGTGTTGTGGTGGCATTATTGCCTCTGCCGTTGGTGCACGGAGGTGCAGAACAGTTAGTGTAGTAACCTCTGTCACACTCGAGTGTGCCGGTCATTGCACTGACCACCAGTCCAGTGCTGTTATCATCATCCGGAAATGCTGCAAGAACATGGCAAGTTGGTGCAAGAACACACACACACACATGCACACGCACACACACACGCACGCGCATACGCACACGCACATACACACACACACACCTCAGACCTCAGACCTGCCCATCGCGGAAGCGATGATAGCGAACAGCTATGTTAGACATAGCAACTTGTGCTGGGATTACACCATTCAACACACACACACACACACACACACACACATGCACACGCACACACACATGCACACGCACACACATACACACACACACACACACACACACACACATATACACACGCACACACACACACGCACACGCCCACACACACACACACACGCACATGCACACGCACGCGCACGCACACACACACTCACACAAATACACACACACAAACATGCACACGTATGTACACACACGCACACGCACAAACACAACACAGCATTTGTGTTCAACAAACGTAAAATGACATTGAAACCCTACACCAACACCATTTACAGCAGTCTTTTGCTGGAGATCTGTATGAATTCGATCTCAATCTAAATCAGCATCAGCAAACCCCACGTCATTCGACTGACTCCTACCAGACCCGGTGTAATCCCAGCATCATCTGATTAGCTACAAGTAGAGCTGGTTATCTACCTGGATCGTTTCCAAAGAGTCCAGCTGGAACGCTAACATGTTGTGAGCTGTCTCGCTGCATTCATTCAACATGTTCTTAGATGCACATCTCATAGGACTGGCAATGTACATTCATTTAAAAAATCCATGCTTCCAGGAAGTGGAAGCCCAACACAGCCATTGTAAACTCCAGGTTGGGGCACTCTTAGTACTATAGTTCTAGGCATTCAAGTACGAGGCGGCTTCTAAAGAGTAAAATACAAGCCTAATTTTCAAGATGCACAGCCAGTACACACATGTTGGCCTGATTTTAGTGTTGCCATTAGGGACCGGCGGATTCTGCTCGAAAAGGTGGCAGATTCTGCTCGAAAAGCAGTGAAATTGGCAGAACCATACAAACCTTATGGCGGGCAATTCCTCGAATTCTGCTCCATTTTTTGTCCACATACGAAACATGCATGAAACTTAACAGAAAAAGTACCGAATTCTGCCAATTTTTCTGCCGGCAGAATCCGCCGGACCCTAGTTGCCATACATAGATATATCCGGTTTGAATGGAAGCCTATCCCTGACACTGGCTCCTACGGGAATAATTTAATAAGCGGCGTTAAGGTATTTCAGGGTGGGCTTCTTGGACGTTGTCAGTTATCACAGCATCCCTTTCCCTTTTGATTTCTTGAGAATTTTGCTTGATATTCAGGTTTAGGGGCAGGCGCTTTTCTTTGGCTAGATACTGCAATCTTGAAAACAGATGGAGTGTGATTTTCGAAAGATTTCACTCTTTACTAGTGAAATTGCTTACTCGGTAGTGATGGGTGAGCTCCGGAGCCTCCTGTCGTTTACCCTGCTCCGTTGGGCGATTACATGCTTCAGCGGGTGCAGGGGTCGTATTGCCGTAGGCGAGACCATGGCTTCTTGCACCGCTGACTGTCCAGGTTAGTGGCCTAGACGGTATTAAACGTGTTTTAATTGTCTGATTGTTTCTTTGTATGCGTTGCTTGCTTACTTGTAGTTTGTCTCCTGCAACCATGTTGCAACATTGTTAGTGCTTACGTTTGGTGATTTTGTTGTCGCGTGACCGCCAACTGCCATCTTTTCAGATTTGTGTTGGGTTTCAGTTCCCGTTATGGCAACAAACAGTTGGATTGAGTTTTTTTCTTCTTCAGATTCTTGGCGTTTTGTTCATTTTTTGTATTACGATTTTGTGTCATAATATTATGTAAGCACATTTGCTTTGCCCGTACAGGAGACTTGTCGGTAGTAGCGCAGTTAGAGAGTCTGCGATGTAGTGACATCATAAAATAAATATTATTTATTTTTGAATCGTTTGCAGGCAACCTGCCTACACTCAAGAGAGCACTGCATTTCACACAAATCCATTAGAGGTATCGTTACAACGTTTCGGTCTTTATGACCATCATCAGGAATGAAGTGGACATGGAAAGAACAGCATTATGAAAGAGGGAGGCAAGCAAGCAAAGCGCGGTACATAGTAGTTTATTTTATTGCAGCATCTCAGGACTCAGTGGAAACACCGGCCAATATGAAGAGAGTGGGTGATAGCCAACCACAACATATCTCGTAGTGTAGTAGAGAAAAACAACACTTCATTAGTTTCCCATAGGGCTGAAACAATTATGCGGATAACCGACCTGCTTTCAAACAAGAAATCTGCTCACTGCTGATTAACTCAATCTGCTCCTGCAGCGCTAACCCTCTCCCATACTTGTAAAGTTCAAAGTGATGTAAATCACTTTCCAACTGTTTAACCCACAATCTCACCTTCTCATCAACTTATCTCTTATTGGCGATGGTGCCATCGTGAGAATAAAGAATTCAAACTCGCATATCGATCATTTTAAGAGTGCAATCGTTAATCGTTAGTGTTCAAAACGAGTGCTAACGATTTTTTATGCATGCATGTCAGTGACAGTATTCTAGGCCTTGCACTCCATCAGATAGTGAATACGAGTACAATCATATACTTTCAAGCGCGGTAAAATTGATTTGTGGCTTTGAAAGAGATCGGGAGAGAAGACTTTGTCTTTGTGGTTCATTTCTGGGAGAGGTCGGAGATAAGAGCAGTTGCCAGAGGGTGATGACAGGATTCAGATGTCAACAGTGCGGTGCCACACATCTCTAACGTAGCAAAGGCATCATGGAATTTCTTCCTAATTTGGTGCTCAAGGTACACGGGTAGAGCCAACAAGAATCGATAAAACCAATATATCGATCGTTAATGATATTGGTTGATCGTTAAGAGTTATTGAATGATCGTTGCAGCCCTAGAACTTTCACACAAAAATTAATGATTGAAGTGCATTTCATAGGCTGCATTGAACATATCCATATGACCGTATTAGGCCCTTTTTTCTCTATATTTTCACTGCATTAATTGGTAACCTCCCGCGACAGCGCGCCGATGTTAGCGCGGTGCACTTCAGCGCGACCACTTCAGTGCGAGGCATTTCAGCTCGGTGCCATTTCAGCGCCGTGTCTTGACAGCGCCAATGATTTCAAGCACACCTTGAGTATGGTTCTAATGCGTTTGTACACTGCCTTCACACCACACAACATGATAGACTAACTTGTATTGCTAACCGCGCTGTTAGGATTGTGTTTGGTTTCCCTTGGCACTATGATGTTTCAGTCTTACACACCAGATAATGGCCTTGCTCCTATTGCACTGCGCTATCAGCTTAAACTGTATATTTTTGTCTTTCGGGCTCTACGTGGCATGTACAGCACTCTGCTCTCTGATTGCTTCTGCCTTCGTTCTGCCACAACACACACAGCTGCCCGTACACGTTCCCAGTCCATAGATTCACTTGCTCTGCCTAAAGCATGCAATCGTTATGGCTTATTCGTTTTGAGCTTTCTGGCTTCTGACCGCTGGAATTCTCTTCCAGCTGCCATCGCTCTTGCTCCTCGCTTTCACTATTCCGCAAATCTGTACGTGACCTGTGGGGATTGCCCTATTCAAAATTAAATAATAATAATAATAATAATGGAGTGAGAAGAAACAACACCTATGAAAATGATAATCCTAGCACTAAGGTAATAACAGGAAAAACTGCGAAAGCACTTTTAAAACCGCTTCACATGTGAGCACGAGCAGTCAAGCAAGTTATCCTTCCTCGACGTACTTGTTGAGAAAACCGAATTTGGTAGCGTAACATCGGTGTATCGTAAACCGACATTCACCGGACAATACATTTCCTATGACTCGTACTGTTCATCTAATTATAAAGTCAACTTAGTAAAGAATCTCGTGGATCGCGCCAAACGGATCTGTTCACCTTGTAAACTCAGTGGTGAGCTCGAATTTCTCCGTTCAGTTTTCACCAAAAACGGATACCCAGGCGACATGTTGGCAAAACTATTGTCTACAGCCCCCACGCCGAAACATGAATTGATAGGGCCTGCTCGTTGTCCTGTCTTTTTGTGCTTACCATGGAAGGGCAAGAAGTCTGACAATGTGAGTCGTGAAGTTCGTGCGATCATCAAACAAACCTACTATGCGGTACACTTCATACCTGTCTACACAACGATGCGTTCGTTCACGGTGTTGAAGGACGTCCTACCAACCCATCATTTAAGTCATGTAATCTACAACTTTGAATGCCGGAATTGTGCTAGCCGGTATGTTGGTAGGACTGTTCAGCACCTGAGCGAACGCATCAAGCAACACACACTCCTTTACACATTATCCCACGTAGCACACAACTGGAGCGTCCCACGCGGGGAAGACCCCGTAAACAACCACTACCTCCGCCAACACAGGACCTAGCGTCTCACTCGACAAGTCCACCATTGGCTCCCGTGGCCATGACCAAGTCACTCCCTCCACCAGCGGAGGTGGATGTGGCTTTGGCGACGCCACGTGTGTTGCATGCAGACACGTTTGCATCAGCATCGCTTGCTGCATCACCGGCAGAGACGACAACAATACCTACCTCAATATCAACGAGACCCAGAAGAACAACTGCTAATCACACCATGACCTATTTCAGTACGGAAGTACCGAGCCAACGGAATACACAACAGGAACGTGAGACGAGGGATGGGAGGAGACGGGACCTGATTGCTCCGAGGCAGGAAGTCGTTGAGGAGGATTCGGCCAGTGAGTCCAGTGATTCCGGTGAGTGTGAGAGCGAGAATGATCGTGTGAGTAAGAGTGGGTGCGAGCGTGTGTTTTCTAGTAGGAAGTCATCAGTGTATAAGCATCTTGCATCTCGTCCTGATTGCTGTAAGGTTTATTCTGATTCTTCTTTTTCAGTTTTGTGCCGTGCTCGTCATGGTTATAAGTTGCAGTTGAGTGTGTTAGAAGCCGTTTGTCAACGTATTCATAAGTCTAATCTGTGTGTCCAGAAGGACAGCATTATTCGTTTGAAATTGTTTTAGTAGCAACTTGTTCTGTCTGTTTGGCTCTGGTTGGCCAGGGTGTCATATCTTGTGCCACAGTATACTAGTAGTCCTTACAAGTTCGTTTTAAAAGTGCTTTCGCAGTTTTTCCTGTTATTACCTTAGTGCTAGGATTATCATTTTAATAATAATAATAATAATAATAATAATACAGGGTTCCTCACTTCAAACTCTCCAACTACGGTCTCTTCGCTGCATAAGTTCACTTCACTTCCAAAAAAATAAAATAATATTAGATACAAATGGAATGCACCAAATTTTCGGGCATGGCCCATCTTCAGGGTGAAAAACCATTCAACGTTGAATCAACGTTGAATGGTTTTTCACCCTGAAGATGGGCCATGCCCGAAAATTTGGTGCATTCCATTTGTATCTAATATTATTTTATTTTTTTGGAAGTGAAGTGAACTTATGCAGCGAAGAGACCGTAGTTGGATAGTTTGAAGTGAGGTACCCTGTAATGTGTGAGTGGCTGCAATGGAGTCTGCGAGTGCTTAGAAAAAAAATAATAATAATAATAATGTCTCTTTCCCTCAAACTAGTGAATAATAATAATAATAATAATAATAATAATAACGTCTGGGTGCTGTTGGAGCAACTGAAGAAGGAGGCTTCGCGTACGGAGCTTCTTGCCAGCCAGATGCAAGCTGGCCAGCGCATCCCAGTCGGGAAAGCTTCATACACTCGACTTTTAACGATCGAGTTCGCATCCTGGAAGTCAGACGTGCAAATGGAGAAATCACTAATTTAGATTTTTTCGAATGTTGGTCGACTTCTTCATTTCTAATCTAAGGATTCTCTTGTCATATCGCTATATTATGCCTAATAAATAATTCAAACTATGTGAAAACGCTCGCGTCAGAGCAAGAAGAGGGACAAGACGAGTCAAGGGACAATCCGGAGGACGCAATACCATACGACCAACTCTTTGTTTCTACCAGCGTTATTGTACCGTCGACACAGCTCTGCCGACGATATACTGGGCGAATGCCGCGGGGCCTCCCAGCATGTCAGCAGCAGTGGGTGATGGGCAGATAACAAGGTAGCTTGCGGACAACATCGGTGGCATGAAGCCTAGTGACTGCCAAGCGTCTTGGCGCGACGGGCGAGCAGTACAGTGTCATGCCCCAGGGGCTGCTGTGGCTGTCGACGTCGGCGGGTGGTGAGGTGCGTTCGCAGGCCTTCATGGCGCTCGGACAACTGCAATACTAGTACACAGACTCTCACTAGCTACATAGTACTCTGATTTTGGCACGTTTTTTCTGCATTGAATAGTGATTGATTTTCCGACGCTGCATGCATGTCCAATGCGCGTCAACAGTACTTCACACTTTCCTTTTCCCGCGTTATCACCTCAGCTATGCCAGTTTTGTATGTGGAAACCCCCTATATAATAGCAGTTTGTATATATTTTTTTAATCATTCAACATCTACCTTCACTGATGAGCTATGTATTAGCGAAACAGCTGTCTGAAGGAGTTTATCAATATCGTCTACGGAAGTGTCCTCGCAATGGTGATGGTTGTGTTCAGGAGGGTCTAGTCGGCTAAAGAGCGGAGTGTAATGGTGGAGGTGACTCAACATTTTTATGTGAAAACAAGTTTGTCAAAGAATCACCAAATCACCAAATCCCACTAGCAAGAGTGCAGACGAGACCACTAATACCGTGCGTACGATAATGCGTACGATACTGCGTACTATAGTACGCGCGAAAGTGCTTCGCGCTGACATTTATGCGCTGAAGTACCTGGCGCTGACGTCACCTCGCGCTGACAGTACATCGCGCTGAAGTGCCTTGCGCTGGCATTACCTCGCGCTGAAGTGCCTCGCACTGACACTACCTCGCGCTGAAATGCCTTGCGCTGAAGTGGTCGCGCTGAAATGCCTCGCGCTGTAGTGGACGCGCTGTCGCGGGATGGAATCCATTATTTAATTAAGCTAACGAAATCATTTTTAGATGCACAGCTCCCAAGATGATCCCAGACCGCACGGGTTAGACTAGTTAAAGTGCTGACAGATCAGCACTCCACAGCTGTCCCACACACAAGGTCTAGTGGAACTCGCCTCTTCTCCAAATTTCTTGCCCCGTGCAATCATTAGGAGACTGATTCTAAAAACATGTACATTGAACTATATCCCATAGAGAATGTGATACCCCTGCAATATTATAGCTTACAAGTGACGTTATCCTGTTCTACACCCTGACATTCCGGCAGGACAGCCAGGGCAGAGATACATAGCAACAGCAGACCTCTCGCTAGTGCCATTTGCGGGAAAGATGCTTGCGGCCGAATCTACACCATACAGGCAAATGCAAAGCCGACAAAAGACGCAGACAGGGGGGACAAGCGATGTCACGAAGTGCTGGTATGAGCATATCCACGCGATCGGGACCAGTAAACCTCTAACCTGAGCGCATGAACGAGAATAGATTCTTGACTATTTCTTGTACAGTCAACCAGATCCTCCAGCAGATCTCACAGCAGCTTGAGCCGACACTACTGTTGTGGAAGTTCTCTCATATCTAAGGATTATCATCAGCTCACCAGGCATCCATAAAGGGTTGTGACGTCTAACGAGCAGGGTGCTGTCAGGAGTGCAACTGAAAACGAAAAATGCTACACCTAGTAATTGCAATACTTAGTATCCAGTGCCTGTGTGTTTGTCCGTCGCAGCTCTTGCTAGGCGATAAAATTCGATGTGTTCAAACAGGAATATCAAATTGCAGGACGAAGTGACAGTCCCTCAGCTATGGAAGCAAAACAAGCAGGTCTTCTAATTCTGTGTTACGTGTATGGAAGCATCCTTTACCAGACGAGTGACAACTCTCAAAGTAGGAGGCTAAATGTCCAAACATGGGCATGTTCACACAAACCAAGTGTGCTTGTCAGGCTATTTGGCCAATCGATCAGCGAAACGCAGAACTACCCGGCCGGTACTGTAAGTTAGTGTGACCCAAAGCTTAAATATAGCCCTGACCTTATGCGCACTGCGTACGCTGGTGCTTTGCAAAGGTCCATGTTCCTGCCTAATTTAGGGCAGATGTTTTGCTTGCTTGCTTGCTTGGGGAACATAATTATGCTGGTTTGTATTCGTGGGTCCCCATAGGCCACGCGTATATGCGTACTCATCCGGCGGGTACGTGTGAATAATAATAATAATTATTATTATTAAGAAAAGGGTTTGCTCCCCACACCGGAGCTCGCGCTATTCCGCCGACTTTACTTGACACTTGACTGACTCACGACTGCCATCCAGAGCACACGAGAAGTCCATCGAACCTTCGACTCGGCAAACCTGCAAGAAAGCACCAATTATTATTATTACTTGAAGTATTATTATTGTTCCTGGCACGAGGGCTGTAAGCAGAGCGCCTTGGAATCACTCCTATCATGCAAACACTTGCAAACCAACCTTTTTCTACTGACAAAGTCGATATAAGGAAGATTTCAACTGGGAAAGTAAGTATTAGTTGTACTGCGAAGAAGGAACACTTGCAGAATGTCGAATACAGAGAGCGGAGTCGTCCGGTAGTTCGATAGCGTGCTCAATACAGGAGCAGAGTAATGACACGAGTGACAGAGTACTAGTACCACACGCTTCGTTTCTTGTGACTACGGGGCCCAAGGTCCCAAGGTCGGCAGAGCATCCCAGACCACGCCACCACTCCCCATAACCTTATTCATGGCTCTCTCATGACGGGTTTACGTGGCTCTAGTAAAAAAAAATACAGTGAGTAATAGCTTCATGCCAGATGGTAAAATCTTCAGACAACTGATAACAGTCCTGCACAGCTACTGTAGTATAGTATTTACACAGTGGTCTCGGAGGGGATCCGTTTGCTTGAGAATGTGAAATACACGTACAGCACTCTACTACAACACTTTTCTAGTCATCCATACAAAAAACATATAGGGTAGATCTACCCCGTAAGAAGGCCTAAGGCCTGTGGGAATGCCCTATTCAAAATTTAATAAATATTAATAATAGTACTGTATTGTTGTTTTCACGGTGACCGAGTGAACAAGGCGAGGACACACTGTATGGGAAACATGTTCATGCTGTCACCGTGAAAACACGTTACCTATCAGTATCAGGCAAGGCTTGTATAGTGCAGTACTGTATTGTTGTAGACCCAACAGCAAAAGAAACGGGCCACGGGGATGTTTTAGTGAAATCGCAGAGATATGATAACCCCTTCCTTTCCAGTGTTCTTAGCCATGCTCTCAGCCATGCTCTTGAAGCAACTCAACGTGTTGACGGACATTTTGAGTGATTCCCAACTGAAAAGCGCCATGTGGATATGCCACTATTTCCTTTTTGTCCTTACATGTGCAGGATGAACATGTTTTCGATTTCGACAGCATGTTACAAGGCGAGGACGCATGGTGCTCCTGACTTAGACTACACCCACAACCCGTTTGGCAGGATCGCTTGCTGTCCTCGTCATGTCAATGCACCTGTGACACTGGCTGCATGGAGCGTTCCTTTTCGTCTTTCTTGGCAAGCACAGTGCGCCAAATTTGTCACTTGTCACCTTTTGGGTCGTTAGAATTCAACCTCCTAGCTCCTGTACATGTAGGACGCCGTTGTCAGCATATCAGGCCCCAAGGCGCCCGATATGGAAGTAGCCCTTTCCCAAAGGTGCTCTTTTAATTCGCACTTACAGTCCATTCATAAAAAGATGGGTCCTGGCTCTGGCGAGCTCCCGTATTTGGCGATTTTTCGTGATTTCATCGTACACAGTGCAGTGCTGCGAACTTTGAAATTTGAAAAAGGGTCCAAAAAGGGTGCATGAACTGGGGTTCGAACCGCAGAATGCACTGTTGCAGGCGGGGTCAAACGGCCTGGATTTTGATGGTTTTTCCCAATTCAGTGCTTTTGGGGCAAAACCTGGCCGAAATCCTATTCTTGCTATGGCTTGCTTTTTGGACAATAAAACTTCAGAAACATAATTGGAAGAGGATTCCATATGGGATTGCAGAAAAAAATTCTAAAAAAACTCAACGTTTGACCCATTTATGGCCAAAAGCTAGAAAATCATTTTTTTCTGAATGGACTGTAGTGCTTTTCGCGTCCCTCAAAATATGCTGAAAAAGTGCTCTTTTTCAGTGAAAACAGGCAAAAAGTTCTCTTTTTTCAGTGAAGCATAGCCATGATACATGTTCAGATATGAACCCAAGCTTCGCACTCTTCCATTTAAGGGTCCACGAAAGGCCAAACAGGAAGTAAAGTTCAAAAACCCCACTTTTTACAGCATTGTGTACACCGGGTACAATCTTCACCAACTAACTTGTTGCCCCCAAAAAAGGCCCATCGAGCACTCGGAAACTGTGATCGCATTCCTGAGCAAACAGATTTTAGCACTTTTTCAGCTAAAAAAGCTAAAAAAAAAGGGCGAGGCGATTGCAAGCTTAAGAGGTCATCGATCCAGGCGAGCACCTTTGGATCAGCAGCTGGAGTGCCCCTCAGCTCTAGTGAATGCCGAGTGTCGTCTGGGTTAACCCTCATCTCTTGTTATATGGCTGTATTGTTTTCGCTATTAGTTAGTTTTCTTTGTTATGATTTCTTTTTTTCTTTTTCTTTTTACCAGGCGTGGGCCATCCCCTGAATTCATAGGTGCCAAACATTCATTTTCTTTAGTTTTCTTTGTTAATATGATTTCTTTTTTTCTTTTTCTTTTTACCAGGCGTACGTGTGTCGTGTGGGCCATCCCCTGAATTCATAGGTGCCAGACATTCTTTTTTCTTTCTTTTTTCTTTAAAAAAGAAAAGGGCGATATTCACCAAAAAACGCAACAAAGGGCGAAAGAAACGGGCTCTTCCAAAAAGGGCCAAAAAGGGGAAAAAAGGGCGAGCACCTTTGGGAAAGGGCTATAAATATGGAAGTCAGCATCCAGGACTCGGTTGCCACGTTGCTGATGGATGTAGGAACCAGCCACGTGGTGAGGAGCCCACTGGTACCTGTAACTATCATTTTTATACTATTTTTGCAATTACCTGGATCCTTGGAGTATATAGGGCTTGTAAGTGCTACGTCACAGCATAGCAACAATTTCAAAAATTCAAAAATTGGATCCACTTGGATCCAGTTTTTGTGTGGGTCCCAGCACATTTCAAGCCGTCTTACTCACAGCAAGGTGATGTAACCAGTGAAACTGACTGATTTGGCTACTGGGGGCGGGGTTACAACTGGTGGCGAAGTAGAAGTCGCCCCTCCATACGACATGAGTGGGTTGCTATGCACCCACATACTGAGGCAATAGCAAAGTCACACCTTAGGCTTAGTGAATCCAAAATAGAAATCTGATGTCAACTTAGTACTCCCTGGCCGTTTTGACGTCATCACTTTCAAGCCCTATTGCCAAAACTAACATGTTCACCAAATCCCCATAATCCGTGACATTGATTCGGCACACTCACATTGGCACGAAATGCTCCGAAGCTCAATAAAAAGTCCACTTTCCGGGCTCTTTGGGCGGCTGCCCCCGCACACATTTTGGCAGTGTCCAAATTTGGACACTGCCAAAACTTCCCGTGTACTGTATTATAACAAAATTTGTATACTATAGTCCCAACACGGCACCTTTCACATTTGCATGCTTTCATGATCACAATTGTACAATCCAATTACCCCTACCCCTGCGCCTCTTTGGGCTCCCAGCGGCTTTGATGGGTCCACTTGTATCATAGTTAGTTTTGGCCAAGTGAGTTGGCCCTACTAATAGCATGTATTTTCTTTTCTCCTTTCACTCTGATGATTCTTTAACAAGATGAAACCGATCAGTAAGAAAGAAAAATGACCTTTTGTGATAAACGCTTGTGTCGGGGGTTCTCAATTTACAATATTTTGGCAGTGTCCAAATTTGGACACTGCCAAAACTTCCCGTGTACTGTATTATAACAAAATTTGTATACTATAGTCCCAACACGGCACCTTTCACATTTGCATGCTTTCATGATCACAATTGTACAATCCAATTACCCCTACCCCTGCGCCTCTTTGGGCTCCCAGCGGCTTTGATGGGTCCACTTGTATCATAGTTAGTTTTGGCCAAGTGAGTTGGCCCTACTAATAGCATGTATTTTCTTTTCTCCTTTCACTCTGATGATTCTTTAACAAGATGAAACCGATCAGTAAGAAAGAAAAATGACCTTTTGTGATAAACGCTTGTGTCGGGGGTTCTCAATTTACAATATTTTGGCAGTGTCCAAATTTGGACACTGCCAAAACTTCCCGTGTACTGTATTATAACAAAATTTGTATACTATAGTCCCAACACGGCACCTTTCACATTTGCATGCTTTCATGATCACAATCCAATTACCCCTACCCCTGCGCCTCTTTGGGCTCCCAGCGGCTTTGATGGGTCCACTTGTATCATAGTTAGTTTTGGCCAAGTGAGTTGGCCCTACTAATAGCATGTATTTTCTTTTCTCCTTTCACTCTAATGATTCTTTAACAAGATGAAACCGGTCAGTAAGAAAGAAAAATGACCTTTTGTGATAAACGCTTGTGTCGGGGGTTCTCAATTTACAATAAATAAAGGAGGGACAAAACCTCCTATCACCAAGGCAATTTGGCTT